ACGCGGATAGGCGGTGGGGTTGATTGGGGGATTTGGGAGGAGCGTGAGGGTAGATCCAGGAATAAGGGTTTGGACACTTTGGTGGCTGTGATGGGTTTGGCCAGCGTGACCTGCTTTGGTACATAGGTAGTCCTCCATCGAGAACTGTTTGTTTAGTGACCGATTGAAGTTACAACGGCAGGGGAAAAGGTGACTTATGACCTTCCTTCCTTCCTCACTGCCTCTGTTCTTGTTTTCCTTCCTTCCTTCCTTCTTTCCCTCCTTCTCTGCATCTGTTCCTGTTCTCCTTTCTTCCTTCCTTTCTTTCCACTCTACCTCTGTTCTTGTTCTCCTTCCTTCCTTTCCTTCCTTCCTTCCCTCCTTCTCTGCATCTGTTCCTGTTCTCCTTCCTTCCTTCCTTCCTTTCCTCTCTGCCTCTGTTCTTGTTCTCCTCCTTCCTTCCCTCCTTCTCTGCATCTGTTCCTGTTCTCCTTCCTTCCTTTCTTTCCTCTCTGCCTCTGTTCTTGTTCTCCTTCCTTCCTCCCCCTCCTTCCCCGTCTCTGTTCTCGTTCTCCTTCCTTCCTCTTCCTCCTTCCTTCCTTTCCTTCCTCTCTGCTCTGTTCTCCTTCTCCTTCCTTCCTTCTCTCTCCTTCCTTCCTTTCCTTCCTCTCTGCTTGTTCTTGTTCTCCTTTCTTCCTTCCTTCCTTCCTTTCCTTCCTCTCTGCCTCTGTTCTTGTTCTCCTTTCTCCTTCCTTCCTTCCTTCCCTTCCTCTCTGCCTCTGTTCTTGTTCTCCTTCCTTCTTCCTTCCTTTCTCTTCCTCTCTGCCTCTGTTCTCCTTCCTTCCTTCCTTCTTCCTTCCTTCCTTCCTTTCCTTCCTCTCTGCCTCTGTTCTTGTTCTTCCTTCCTTCCTTCCTTCCTTCTCTTCCCTCCCTCCCTCTGTTTTTGTTCCCCTTCTTTCCTTCTTTCCATCCACCCATCCAAAGTCCAACAGGCTCATTTACAGAAAGATTGGCTGGTTTCTGATTCTTCTCCAGACTGTTCCAAAGTTCTTTTCAATTTGACCTGCTATTTTATTTATGTCCAGGAAAGATATCTGGCTGGCCATAAACTTCCCCCACTGACACATTCCTTTCCCAAAAAAGCTCTCCTGATAGGAAGTTTTTTCCTTGACGCCTGTCAGACTCTCCTCTGGGCTCCCCTCCCACCATCCTGGCACCGTGCCCTCAGATACCAGCCTTTAGAACGCTGCCCGTGTGCATCGGAGGCCAACTCGGACCAAGCAGCCTCTGGAGGGATTTTGCAGATAAGCTGGGGTGGTTCCATTTTTGGAAAAATAGGCGTAGCTCTTTGGGAGGCGGGGAAGAAAGATAACAAATGATCCTTGACTTACAACTGTAATTGAGCCCAGAATTGTGGTCAAAGAGTTGTGTCAGCAGTTAAGGGTCACATCACTGTCCATAATTTTACCTTTTTTTGGTTTTGCAGCAGTCGTTAAATGAACACCAGCAAATCCATTGACCACGATATGCTTTATTTGCCAGAAATTGGTAATAAACCCCCATTTCCAGCAAAAAAAACAAAAAAGACCTTGCAAATTGTGTCCTAAATACCAGCCGATTACCAAACCCGCAGCATGCAATCACCTAGTTTTGCCCCCTGAAAAGAATAACAGAGTTGGAAGGGACCTTGGAGGTCATCTAGTCCAACCCCCCGCCCAAGCAGGAGACCCGCCTACACCATTTTTGACAGATAGCAGTCCCATCTATTCTTGAAAGCCTCCAGGGATGAAGCTCCCACAACTTCCATGGGTTGATCGTTCTCTCTGTCGGAAAATTTCTCCTTATTTCTAGGTTGAATCTGGGGTGAATTTTGTCTATCTCTACAAATTGGTACAATTCAAGTTTTTATCTGTTGGGAGGACAGATCAATTTAAGCAAAGGGCAAGTCACATCAGTTGAGTTATTTGGCTCTTCCTACCAAGGGTATATCTCAGCCCCAAATATTTGACATTGTTGATCCCAAGTAAACGGGCCCCTTGCATTCAAGCAAGACGGTGGAGCCCGTCCTTGTTCAGGGACGGCTTCGTTTAGCAACGGTTCTTGCTTACAACGGTGAGGAAGGAGTAATTTTTCGACCAATCCTCGCGTTTACGGCTGTCGTAGGTCTGTAGAATGGCGTGGGTTAATCTCAGCCACTGGAAGAGGGGTGGACTTCAACTCCCAGAATTCCCCAGCCATCTCTTCCAGCTGTTGAGATTTGAGGCTGGCTGGGGGATTCTGGGAGTTGGAGTCCACACCTTTTCCAGTTGCTGAGATTGGGGATGGTGGAGGAATTCTGGGAGTTGGAGTCCATCCCTCTTCCAGTTGTTGAGATGGAGGTCGGCTGGAGGATTCTGGGAGTTGGAGTCCCCCCCTCTTAGTTGCTGAGATTGACAAGCACCGCTGTAAAAGCGAAGGAAGATCATATGCACAGTGGCAGTTTCACTTAGCAACTGCTTCGCTTAATGGCCACGTTGCCAGTCCCGTTGAAAAAGGAATATACTTCTTGCAAAGCTGAGAGAACCAAGCTGTGGGTTTTTGGCTGAAAGCTGCAGGGCTTTTCAACATAGAAACCAACTTTTCCGGTTATATTTGTCTAACTGGGTCTATGCGTAGGAATCAAAGAGACCGACAGCTGGATATCTCATTCTGGCTTCTGGTAAGACTTTCTCCCAAATTTCAGAAAAGGAAGAACTCTTTCTGGGAAAGAGCCACTTTACGAAAACTCTTCCTGTACAGCTAGTCCTCGATTTAGGACCACAATGGAGCCCAACACTTACATTGCTAAGTGAGACATCTGTTGAGTGACCTTTGTTGCATTTGTCAATGCAATCCTCGTAGTTGTTAAATCGGTAACACCGTTGTTAAACGAGTCTGATTTCCCAACATTGATTTTGCTGGTCCGAAGGATTCCAGGACGCTACAATAGTCATAAATGCAAGTCGGTTGTCAAGCTTCCGAACATAAAATCACAGGACCACGGGGACGCTGCAACAGTCATTAAGTGTTGAAAAATGGTCGTAAGTCACTTTCTTCGGTGCCGTTGTAACCTCGGAAGTCACTAAATGAACCGTTGTAAGCTGGGGACTCCCTGTTCTTTAAATTTGCTCTTTCAGATGTATTTGCTGTTAATTTACCAGATGCCTTCACCTTATAGAAAAGCCTAGTTTTAAAATCTGTGCCAGTCGAGTGCCATGTTGGCACGGGTAGGAGGAGGCTATTCAGCTTCCAATTGGCAACACGAAACTTTAACGATATAATCACAGTTGTTAAGGAAGGTGGAATTCCACTTAATTGTTTTCTCTGGAACTGGTTCTCGCTTTCGCAAAATCTTCTGGCCAAGACTGAGTCGATGGAGGCTGAGGGCCACCAAAGTGGTGGAAAAGTTTTGATCGACTTTGGTGAAGAGCTGATCTTGTCCAAAAGTGGGGGCAAAGCTGCATGTTTGCATTAAGAATATTAAGAATATTCTAATGGTTACGTAACCGTCATTTAGCAAAGAAACTTGGCTTAAGGAGCCATTAGAATATTCTTCCTGTTACGACATCCTGCATTTAATGACTACGTTTGGGGTGGAGAGAAGTAGTAGGAAGGCGTAATGGGATTGCAGCTTGCTTGCAAGCTCTTTAGTCTTCTCTCAAAAACCACTTTTATGGGCTAAGCAGCAGTGTTAGAGAAAAGAAAAATTAGGGGTGACATGATAGCAGTGTTCCAGTATTTGAGGGGCTGCCACAAAGAGGAGGGGGGCCAAATTATTCTTCAAAGCACCAGAAGGCAGGACAAGAAACAATGGATGGAAATTAATCAAAGAGAGAAGCAACTTGGAATTAAGGAAAAACTTAACAGGTTGGACAATTAACCAGTGGAACAGCTTCCCACTAGAAATCGTGGGCGCTCTATCACCGGATGCTTTTAAGAAGAGACTGGACAGTCACTTGTCTGAAATGGTATAGGACAGGTTCTCCTGCTTGAACAGGGGGCTGGACTAGAAGACCTCTAAGGTCCCTTCCAGCTCATTTCTATTCTATTCCTAGAATCCCCCAAAGTGATAAGGAAGAATTGACCTATTTTAAAACAACTTTGTAGGTTGCCCTCTTAGGTGAACCTTGTAACAGCAGATTACAGATAGTCCTTGATTTATGGCCACAATTGAGCCCAAAATGTAGGTTGCCGAGTGAGAAATTCGTTAATTTTCCCCTCTTTTACAACTTTTCTCGTCACATTTGTTAAGTGAATCATTGCAGATCTTAAATTAGTCACCCAGTCGTTAAGTGAATCTGGTTTCCCCATTGACTTTGCTCGTTGGAAGGTCGCAAAAGGGAATCACGTGACCTAGGGACACTGGAACCGTCATAAATGTGCATCAGTTGCCAAGTATCCGAATGTAACCAGGGGGATGCTGCAAAGGTCATAACTGTGAGAAACGGTCATAAGTCCCTTTTTTCAGTGCCGTCGTAACGTTGAAAAGTCCACTAAGTGAACTGTTGTAAGTTGAGGACTACCTGTATTAACCCTGGTTTACTGTCAATCTGGTTGGTAAATCGAGGGCTACCTGTATTAACCTTGGTTTACTGTTGATATGGTTGGTAAATTGACTATCTGTATTAACCCTGGTTTACTGTTGATCTGGTTGGTAAATTGACTATCTGTATTAACCCTGGTTTACTGTCAACCTGGTTGGTAAGTCGAGGGCTACCTGTATTAACCCTGGTTTACTGCTGATCTGGTTGGTAAGTTGACTATCTGTATTAACCCTGGTTTACTGTTGATCTGGTTGGTAAGTCAAGGGTTACCTGTATTAAATCGAGGGCTACCTGTATTAACCCTGGTTTACTGTTGATCTGGTTGGTAAGTTGACTATTTGTATTAACCTGGTTTACTGTTGATCTGGTTGTATGAGCCCAGTCTCTAATCGTAACGCGAATTTCATTATCTGTCTTTCTTCTCTCTTTACATGTCGGCTGCTTGTTCTCCCTCACCAGGAAGAGAAGAATGAATATTTCCCGGTGCCTCTCGATTGCCACGGCGTTGCTAACCCTGGTGGCTCTCAAGGCCTACATCGAATGGACGACCGAGCAGGAGGAACGATACCCCATGCCCCACATCACTCGTTGGCAAAGCGTCTCCATCCCACCCTTCCAACCCTTCGAGGAAATCCCGCCGTCCTTGGTCTATCATCGCTTTAACGCCTCCTTGCAACAATTCCGCCACAGCATCCCGCGGGCCAAAGCTTACTGGAACGATAAACAATACAAAAATTTCCGGGCGTTGGAAGAAGGTTCGGTGGCCAACGCTTCCTGGAATAAATGCCCCAGTGCCAAGGTGGAGGAACTGGCCACCAAGATCAAACATTTCAACTCGTATCCGGAGCTTTATAAGAATTTCATTCTCTACGGGGACTGCAGGAATTATTCCCTCCTGATCAATGAACCCCGTAAGTGTGCCGATACGAAGAACAACACCTTCTTGCTCTTGGCCATCAAATCCGTGCCCGGCAATTTTGCCGCTCGCCAAGCCGTGCGGGACACTTGGGGGCAAGAAGGAGAACCCGGCGGGCTAGCCATCCGCACCGTCTTCTTGCTGGGCACGGCTGAGGGACGGTTCGGACCCCACCTGCAACACCTGGTCCATTTCGAGAGTCGGAGTTTTGGGGACATCTTGATGTGGGATTTTGAGGACACTTTCTTCAACCTGACCCTGAAGGACTCCCTCTTCCTGCACTGGACGCTGGACTACTGTCGGCACGTCCGTTTCATTCTCAAAGGGGACGATGACGTGTTTATCAACACCCCGAAAGTCTTGGGGTATCTAAGCTCGGTAGATGTCAACAAGCCCCTCTACACGGGGCAGGTGATGTCCAACGCCTCTCCCTTTCGGTTCCAGAAAAGTAAATACTACGTGCCAGAATCATTTTATGTGGGGCCGTATCCAGCTTATGCGGGAGGTGGGGGCTACATCTTCTCTGGACTCCTGGCCCCGTTGCTCCTCCTCATTTCTCAGCACGTGGCCTTCTACCCCATCGACGACGTTTACACGGGGCTCTGCTTCCAAGCTCTGGGCATCCCCCCTCAGCCCCACGCCGGCTTCATGACCTTCGATATCGCCGAGAAGGACCGGGAAGACCCCTGCGTGCACAGCCAGCTGCTCTTGGTCCATCGGCGCAGCCCCCGACAGACCCTCCATCTTTGGAAGCAAATCACCGATCCAAAACTCCGATGCGGACCTGAGGCGTTGAACCCCCAACCGGAGAAGCCGCCAGGATTTTGACCAAACTGGGGAATGGACCACGTGGAACTTTTCGGTCCTCTGGGCTGCAACGGGGAGATGCTCAGGCCCAAATCCCATCGGAATGTTTCAGAGGGGACACCCCAACTTTTGAAGGACAGGAGCTGGGGATGGGCACTCTCTTTGGGCCTCTTCTGAAATTGCTGTTCTTTGTGAGATATCCTTTCTGAGATATCCCGGTGGAAGGCAGAACCGTACCAACAGTCCAGGAAGTGCCATTTACAGATCTAAGAACCGTCCTTATGGTCAGAAAAGGGCCACAGCATCCACCTGGCCTTAGCTGAGAATGCCAGGCCTTCAAGCTTGCTTCCCCTACCCAGTGCCCTCCTAGTAGGCCTGCAACGACTGGATTTCTAAGCGGAACCTTCCTCCACATCTGGAGGCAATTTATAGAGGATCCTGGAAGAGAAACGCCTGGCTAGCTGGCCCAACCTGCCTGGATTGCAGAAAGTATTGTCCACAAGTGTTTTATTTTTTTCTTTGGGGCCCAAATCTTTGGGGGCCAATCCCCCTCCCATAACTGGATAAACCAAGAAACTGAGGCACGAAGCCGATTCTAAATAACCATGGAGTGTTTCAACGTGGCGAAAGAAAAGTGGAAATAAGGCCCTCTAGAATTATCATCGGAAGTGAGGATAGCCTTGGCGGCCCAGTGGTGAGAATACAGTATTACAGGCTAACTCTGCCGACTGCCAGCAGTTTGATCCTGACCGGCTCAAGGTTGACTCAGCCTTCCGTCCTTGCGAGGTCGGTCAAAGGAGGACCCAGATTGTTGGGTGTGGGGGCCAAGATGCTATTGGTAATGTAATTTTGGACCCCAGGATAGTTTTGGTGCCCGATAGGATCACCTTCTCTGTTCCACCAATCCTTAAGCCTTTTGACTCATTGACCGTTTCTGTATCTCATCTCTAGAAAAATTCCTTGTTCATGCACTTTAGATATTCAAATCAGTGGTGAAATCCAATTTTTTTTTACTACCGGTTCTGTGGGCATGGCTTGGTGGGCGTGGTGTAGCTTGATGGGCGTGGCTTGGTGGGCATGGCAGGGGAAGGATACTGCAAAATCCCCATTCCCTCCCCACTCCTGGGGGAAGGACATTGCAAAATCTCCATCCCACCCCACTGGGGCCAGCCAGAGGTGGCATTTGCCGGTTCTACGAAGTACTCAAAATTTCCACTACCGGTTCGTCAGAACCTGCTGGATTTCACCCCTGGTCCAGACCCATATTATCCTTCACCTGTCAAAGAGTTTCATGTAATGTTCAGGTTCTGTAAATCTAAGAAGCTGAGATAGGAAAGGGGAGAATCTGTAAATTGGTCAGAAAACTTCGACATCAGTGTGGGCTGCTGCCGGTTCAGCCGAACCGTTAGTTACAATCAGCTGGCCCCGCCCACCCACTCCTGCCCTATCTTGTCCTATATTTCCTTCATTCTGGCTCAGCCTATTCGCGTGGCACAGCTGATTTCTGTGCCTCCACTATTCTACTTACCGGGGATGCCTTAGAACAGTGATGGCTAATCTTTTTGCTGTCGCATGCCAAAAGCAGGTGGAGTGGGGGGGTGCGCGTGCCCACACCCATAATTCAATGCGCCCCACGCCCAGTGCTCCCCCTTTTGGCACACGATGGCACATTTTTTCACCCTCACCAGGCTCCAAAGGCTTTCTAGGAGCCTGGGGAGGGTGAAAACGGCCTTCCCCACCCCCCGGAGGCCCATTTCCTGACTTCCGGTGGGCCCAGAAGGTCAGAAAATCAGCTGGCTGGCACACACATGCACACTGGAGCTGAGCAAGGGCAATGCTCATGTGCCCACAGATATGGCTCTGTGCGCCACCCACACTGTAACAACCTCCTGCTGTAATAAAAATGTGACTCGGGTACCGTCGGTCTTGGAGAACGTCGACTGGTGATTTTTGAACAGGTGGTTTTTTTTGGAAACGTTGGGCTTGGATCCTTCAAAGCAGCAGATTACAGGTAGTCCTCAATTTACGGCCACCATTAAAAAATTTCCGTTGCTAAGTGACACATCCAAGGTTCCCTCCTTTTACGATTTCACTTGCCACTAAGTGAATCTTAGTGAATCAAGGCAATGGTTAAGTTAGTCGCCCAGTTGTTATGTGAATCTGGCTTCTTCCCCATTGTCTTTGCTTGTTGGGAGGTCGCAAAAGGGGATCACGAGACCCCGGGACGCTCCAACTGTCATAAATATGAGTCAGTTGCCAAGGAAATCCGAATTCTGATCACGTGACCAGGGGGATGAGGGACGATGCAACGGTCATAAGTGTGAAAGATGATCATCGGTCGCTTTTTTCCCGTGCCGTTGTAACTTGGAACGGTCACTCAATGAACTGTTGTTAAGTCGAGGACTACCTGCATTTCCTGCAGAGCATCTCCAGTAAAAACTCTGATTTTTTTTCCATGGAGGCAGCCAGGAAAACTGTGCCAAAACACATACACACACAAAAAACATGCTGGGAAGAACATTCTGATACGTCGCGGGGCAGATGGTGTCTCTCAACAGGTATTCTCACACACGGGCGCCGTTGGCCAAAAGAAAAATATTTATTGATTTTCCAACTTGCCCCATATGTGCGATTAGATAGGCTGGCATCTCCCCGTTATTCCCTTTTCACCCACAATAATCGTTATTTTCAGTTGTAACAGCTTTTGAGTAAGAGTAACAGAACAGCGTGAATTCCGCTTTAGGAAGGCGCTGGAAAAATAAAAAATGCACCAAACATCCACAAGGAGACGTTCGAACTCGGATCCCTGCGTCTCGTTCTCGCAACCCCAAACATATACATTTCTAAAGCCCCCCACCCCCCAACGGTGCAAAGTTTTCCGGCCTTCTCCCCCGTTGCTCAAAGTCATTTCCGTCCCAAAGAAAATCCACAAACATTAATTCTCGACAACCGTTTTCTCGGTAAGACACCCCTTTAGTGTTTTGATAAATTATCCGGCACCTCATTTAAGGCCGATCTCTGTGCCCCGGCAAAGAAATAAATTTATCATGTCTCTTTCCACGATGGAACATGGGTTGGGGGGTAGAGGTGGTATTCATCCGGTTCGGAGCAGTTCGCCCGAACCGGTAATGGAAATCGCCGGCTCTATGCCATCCTATTGAGGCAGGTTTTTGAGGCCGGAAACGCACGCACTCACATTTGCGAACCAGTAGGGAAAGTAAGTAAATACCATTCTTTGGGACTTCAAGCTTTCAGCCCCCTCTATGGATTTTTCTAAAGAGAGATTCATTCCCCTCCGGAGAGCAATCGGGCAAATTTAACCCTTTCCCATAGCGGGACGCTTAAGGTGACACCCGATTTGCTAGCTGAATTTTGAGGGCTGATCAGCGAGGAAGGTTGCGAACGTGTCAAAACCCAGAAAGGCTCTTTAGTCCAGAAAGCAGCAAATTTAAGGCAATTGCAGTCCATCTCCATTGAGCTGGGAGAGATTTCTGTGCTTTTAAGGAAGGTTATCTGCGGCTTTCCCCACCTTTTTGTGCAAAAAAATATAACCCATGCCGGATTACTTGAGATTATTCAATCCTTGAATGTTAATTTTTAAATCTCGGTTCCCACCACCTTCCTGTAAAAACCCCTAACCACAGTTACTGCTATAGTGACAAAGTAGTAGTTACAAGGAAGAAACTCCCCTTTGCTTTAAAAATTGGGGGGGAAGGAAATTTTCTTAAAGGCCCATGAAGACAGATGGGAGTAACAATCAAAAATTGACAGTTAGGGTGATGAGGGGCCAGTCTGAATCATTAAAAAAAATGAATATGTGGCTCAAGAAACAGAATGCCAGGCGGTGCCCCAATACCAGATTATCTCTCTGACCCCAAATAGTGCCAGCCCATCTCTATATTTTCCAACTAACTCAGAAGGAGACGAAGCGTCACTTGATCCAGAAAGCAAATTCAAGGCGAAATCTTTCGAAGATTAAAGCAGGCCAAAAGGACACCCCCACCCCAAGTTCTAAATTAAATCCTTGAACGCGTTAGAATGAAGTAGCAATAGCCGGAGAGAGTCCACCTCGCCCCACCGGGCAAGTACAAAAATGCACCTAGCAATGCATTAAACAATCCTTTAAACTGTGGGGGTCCCCAATCCCCACTTAAGTCTCTTGCCCCACACCAAGCCCCTGAATGGGGGTCTGTCTCTCTTCTTTTGGGCTGGCCTTTAAAAGGAAAAGAAAAAAAAGAAAAATGAAAGGCAGTCGAACGACAGAAAGCTAAGCGGCCCTTTCGTAAGAAAAATCTCGGCGGGATGCAGAGATTACTCCGGCCGAAAGCGAAAACGAAGAATGGATGGATGGATGGAAAGCCGGGTGGGCATCCCCACAATGAAAGGAGAGAGATTTTTTTTGGGGGGGGGGCAACCAGGGATGGGTGCTGGAGATGCCAACAGGCCCATCTGGCACCCTGGAAGGGGGGCACCAGCCCTCGGGGTTGGGGGAAATGGGACGTGAGGAGAGCGTCCCACTAGGCTTCATCCTCCCTTTTCTATGTCAGCGCTGAGATGCTGACACCGAGATTCATTTCTCGAAGTGATCCAGAGGGTAATGTTCTCCGTATTGCTTCAGATGGCGCTCCAAGGAAGTCTGCTGCTTGGCGATGTGCCAGGGCATCTCACTGTAGACGTCCGAGAAGAGGAGCTGAACTTTGGGCTTCAACTTCCGCTCAGCCTCCTCGAGGGCCTCCATCACCTGGAGATAGACGGGTGGAGGGAACGTGACAATGAAGCGAAATCACAGAGTTGGAAGGGATCTTTCAGATCTTCTAGCCCTCTTCTAGGTTGAGAAACAATGCTGGCTGGGGAATTCTGGGAGTTGAAGTCCACCCATCTTAAAGTGACCAAGGTTGGAAAACTTCCCTTAGAGTAGACCTGGGCATTATAGGGCCCCTGGCCACATCCACCTCTTTGGCTATCCCTGTCCAGCCCACGTGGATTGCTTTCATTTTGAAGGGAACTTTTTTTTTTAAAATTTACCTACGTGTGTGCGCGAATGCCTACGTACCTTTTCAGCCCTCTCGGTTCAGCCCTCCACAACAGTCCCAAGTTTCTCAGCATTGGTCCCCAAGACGGAATTCTCTCTCCGAGAACCAAAGGTGCTTTTTTCAAGCGGCAACTGGCCTTTCTGGTTTTTCTTCGAAGTCGTTTCGCTTCTCATCCAAGAAGTTTCTTCAGTTCTGGCTGGGATTCCCTACCTTCCAGTCAGAGCTGAAGGAGCTTCTGGGATGAGAAGCGAAACGCCTTCAAGGAAAAAGAGAGGAAGTCCAGTTGCCTCTTGGAAAAAGCACCTTTGGGACAACCTGTGACTTGGATGACGGAGAATCTCTACAGCAGGGGTGTCAAACACAAGGCCTGCGATGTGGTCGGATGCGGGCCGCGGGGCCGTCGTGGAAAATGTAAGGGGTCGGCCCGCGTCGCTTCAACCCCATCTACCCGGAGGTGGGACATGAATTAACAAACGGTTCGCCCAGCACTGAAAATGTGAGCACCCACGCAGGCGCTTGGCGCTCTCTTGCGGCTTGCATGCATGCGCACAGCTTAAAAATGCAGCTAAATAGGATGACATAGTGCCAGAGAGGGGGGATGCCCCCCCCGGCAGGTCGCAACTACCGGTTTGCCTGAACTGGTCCAAACCGGCAGCAGCCCACCACTGGATCTACCCAATGTGAAGAGGAAACATTGGGCCAGCCTGGCTTCGGCCCCGCCTACCCAGAGGAAACATGCCAGCAGTTTGGGGAGTGGTGTCAAGCTGGCCACACCCACCCAGTCGGCCACACCCCTCCCCCACCCCAGGTCAACCACAGCCCTGATGAAATTGAGCTTGACACCCTTGATCTATAGAATTTTGGATAACTGTTTTGCTACATTCTGCCTCTCCCCGCCCCCATTATTAGCAATTCAATTAATTTGTGCTGCAGGCCGGCCCCCCACCCAAAAGGGGGGATTCAGAGTAGAGAAATTTCTGTAATTCTATTCATTTTGGGACAACTCTTTACGGGACCGCCTGCTACCACCAATAGCCTCCCACCGGCCAGTACGCTCCCATAGAGAGGGGCTCCTCCGGGTGCCGTCGGCCAAACAATGTCGACTGGCGGCCCCCAGGGGGAAAGCCTTCCCTGTGGGGGCACCTGCCCTCTGGAACGAGTTCCCCCCGGAGATACGGAGGATCCCGGATCTGCGTACCTTCCGTCACACGCTCAAGACTTTCTTATTTCATCAAGCTGGCCTGATCTAAGTCTTTTCCCTTTTTAAATGGAAATTTTAAATTTGGTTTTAAATTATTGGGGTTTTTAAATTTGTTCAGCCAAATTATTTAATTCGTTTTAGTTTATTTTAAATTTTGTATCTATATGTTTTATTCTATGGCTGTTCACCGCCCTGAGTCCTTCGGGAGTAGGGCGGTATACAAATTCAATTAAAAAAAAAAACTCTGACCTGGATGGACTGAGAATTATCTGGGACTTTGGGGGAATTAATTGCCCGCCCTTGGCCCTACCGGTACCCAGGCGGGACGGGAGGGAGGACGTTCGGCTCAGCCACTGACCCGTTTGCGCGATTTCTTCCGCCAGCTCTTCTCCTGCTCCTCGTCCCACCAATTCCGGTTCGCCATGTAGTGGCGGAGTCGCGAGATGGGATGGTCTTGCTTGTCCCAATAATTGACTTCGTCCACGGAGCGGTAGGCTGAGCTGTCGTCGCTTGTGCTGTGGTGCCCGATCCTGGGAGAACAAACCAGGGGAGGCGGTGGGGGCAAAGAAGATTTTGGCTGGACCCCTCCCCACCTCCCTCCACCCCCTTGGTCTGACCTCCATTCCAGCTTTCGCCTCCCAAGCTACCTGTAGGTCATGGCCTCGATGAGGAACGGCTGGTTTTCGGCAATGGCTCGGCGTCGGGCCTCCTTGGTGGCGTTATACACGGCAAAGACGTCGTTGCCATCCACTCGGATAGACTGGATGCCGTAACCGGGACCCCGGGCGGCTGGGGGGGTTTCAAGAAGAGCTATCACCACACTGGGACTCTTGTCTTTTCCAGACCCCTCCTGCTAATTTTTGTTTAATTTACATTTTTAAATTTAAACTTAAAATCTAGATCCAGGAAGGTTTCCGGATTCACGATTCAGCCGGTTTGGCTGAAGTGGTTTCTAAAACAAGAATTCAGGTAGTCCTCCACTTATGACTGTTTGTTTAGTGGCCGTTAGAAGTTACAACGGCACTGAAAAAAGGGAGTTACGACCCTGTTTCGCACTTACGACCGTTGCAGCGTCCCCACAGCCATGGGGAGGGCTACTTCTAACTTCCTTAGGATTAACGGGCACAGCTTAAAACACGGATAGAGGAAGTCCTCAACTTATGACCGGAATTAAGACCAAGAATTTGCGTTGCTAAGCAAGACGATTATTAGATCAGCGGCACCCAATTTTACCATCATTGTTGCCACGGTCGCTGAGCCAATTCACTTAACAACGGCAGCAACTTGTGTAGTCATTAAGCCAATTTGGCTTCCCCGGTCGGAAGCCGGCTGCGAATGGCGATCACATGATCTCCAGATGCTGTATAACCGTCGTAAATACATGCCGGCTTGCCAAGCACCTAAATTTGGATCACATCACATGCTGCGATGGTCATAAGTGCGAGTCCCAAATCACTTTCTTTCAGTGGCGTTGTAACTTCCAACGGTCGCTGAATGAACTGTTGTAAGTTGAGGACGACCTGTAACGTCATGAGGATTGTGTGTACGTACAGGTCGTCCTCGATTTACAACAGTTCATTTAGTGACCTGTTTGAAGTTACAACGGCACCAGAAAAAGGGACCTAGGACCATTTTTCGCATTTATGATCCTTGCAGCATTCCCCGCAGTCATGCGATTTACCATGCATTCGAATGATTGACAACTGACTCACATTTATGATGGGGGCAGCGTCCCCGGGGGGCTCACGTGATCCCCTTTTGTGACCTTCTGAATACCCCCACTGACTACCGAACCGGCTGAATACCCCTACTGGCGACCTTCTGACAAGCCACGTCAGCGGGGGAAGTTTAAGAACTGCAGGGGATCCACTTAACAAACGAGGCGAGGCGTAAAATGGGGCAAAACTCAACCGAACCGCCGTCTCACTTAATGACATAAATTTCGGGCCCAACGCTGGCCGTAAGTCGGGGACCAACCAAGCCGCCTCACCGATTCCGTCGCCCCGGTATTGTTCGGATGTCGGAGTGGAGATGGCGTAGCCGTTGTTCCGGCAGAAAAATATCACCGGGCACTCGAGGGTAGCGGCAAAATTGAAGCCCGCGTGGGCATCCCCCTCGCTGGACGTCCCTTCGCCGAAGTAGCAGATGACGACGCGGTTTGTGTTCGTCCGCTTGAAGGCGTAGGCGGCCCCCACCGCTAGCAAGGGAAGGAGAGTTAATTTTGGGGCGGGGGGGTTTCCTCAAATATAACAGCCTGCTTTGGCTTGGGTTGCTCCGTTTGGGGGGGGGGGGCTGGGATGTCTGCCGGGCAATGGTGGGATTCAAATAATTTAACAACCGGTTCTCTGCCCTAATGACCGGCTGGGTGGGCGTGGCCATGGTGGGCGTGGCCAGGGCCCAGCACTCGGCCTCCTGCAGCCTGCGGGGAGCAAAAACGGGCCGTGGGAGCGCGCCGCACCTCCCGCACCCCGTTTTGGGCCTAGTAGGCCTCCCTACACTTACCTGGGAGCCAAAACGGGGCGTGTGGGGACTCCTGGAAGGGGAGGGGAGGGGAGGGGCCAGTCAGCAATTTAACAACCGGATCGCATGAAGCGGGCCGAACCGGCTGAATCCTACCACTGCTGCCGGGGTCTCGAGAAGAAGCTGGCCTCTGACGGTGCCTCACCTTGTGGGATCTGGGTAGCCAGCGGGGAGGAGATGGTGACAAAGTTTAAATCTTTGCAGCCGTAATGCACCGGCATTTGGCGGCCTTTCCCGGGGTCGCTGGTGTTGCCGTAGCATTGGGCCATAAACATATCCAGAGGGTACCCCCTGTGCATCAGGACGCCTGGGAGAAAGAGAGAGAGAGAGAAAGAGAGACCAGGTGAGAGGCTTCGGGTGGCTTCTGGCACTAGGTTGGCATTGGCACTGTGCCACGTATTGTGGTCAACTTGTTTGTGGAGGGGGAGGGAGGGGAAGTAATCAAAGGAATAAAAGATATATATGAGACTAAATTACAAAACAATAGTAATAAGCTGAGATTTCTTTCTTTCTTCTTCCCTCCCTCTTCCCTTTTTCTCCTTCCTTCCTTTCCTTCCTTCCTTTTCCTTTCTCCCTTCCTTTCTTTTTTTTCTATCTCTTTTTTCCCTTCCTTCCCTCTCTTCCACCCTCCCTCCCTTTCTTTCTCTTTCCTTCCTTCTTTCTTTTTCTTTTTTCTTTCTTTCTATTGTTTTCCTTCCTTCCTTCCTTCCTTCCTTCCTTCCTTCCTTCCTTTCTTTCCTCTTTCTTTCCTTCTCTCTCTCTTTCCCTTCCTTCCTTTTTCTTCCTTTTTCTTTTTTCTTTCTTTCTTTCTCTTTCTTTCTTTCCTTCTCTCTCTCTTTCCCTTCCTTCCTTTTTCTTTCTTTTTCTTTTTTCTTTCTTTTTCTTTTTCTCTTTCCTTCCTTCCTTTTTCTTCCTTCTTTCTTTCTTTCTTTCTTTCTTTCTTTCTTTCTTTCTTTCTTTCTTTCTTTCTTTCTTTCTCTTTCTTTTTCTTTCTCTCTCCCTTTTTCCTTTCCCTTTTCTTTCTCCCCCCCAGTTGCTACTAGCTTTGAGTAGCATACATACACATTTACTGCAATTCCTCTTACTAGAAACCCCCCCAAAAAAACCCTCTACAGCCTGTCCAAAACAACTAGCTGCCCGATTAACGCCTCTCCCTTTTCAACTGCCTGTAATCCACCAACTTCTGCTGTTGGCGCTTCCTTAAAGAGGGGATACATTTCCCCCTAAACGAAGCTGCTGGATTCCGGGAAACAGAGATCTGGGTTCAGAAGGTGCCAATCGGAGGCCACGCTGCGTTTGATCTCTGTGCGTTCCTGGTACCTCCTCAGTTCAAAACAAGCCAGGTTGGTCAATGACAGATATGAAGTCCTCTGACATTGACTCACGCCAACAAGCCTTTATCCTGGGTTCAAGAGGCTATCATGGAAAACGCGGCTGCTTTAAAGAGGTGCCAGCTGGTAACTACATGCACCCTTCCATGCCTGCTTCCAAAACACCTTCTAGGCTTCGGATCCATGCGCTGCGTATCTCTAGGCTCAAGATACTAACAACGTAAGGGGGAAGGAAGGTCAAGGTTGGGCAGTTCGGGCTAGTGCAGTGTTTCTCAACCTTGGTAGCTTGAAGATGGGTGGACTTCAACTCCCAGAAGCCCCCAGCCAGCAGTGCTGGCTGGGGGATTCTGGGAGTTGAAGTCCACCCATCTTCAAGCTTCCAAGGTTGAGAAACACTGGTCTAGTGGTTAAGGAAATGCTTATAAACGAGGAGATGTGAGTTCTAGTGCAACTTCAGCTATGAAAGCCGGCTAGGTGACTTTGAGCCAATCACCAGGAGACGGTGAGTTCTAGTCCTGCCTGAAGCATGAAAACTGGCTGAGTAACTTTGGGCCAATCACCAGGAGGGGGTGAGTTCTAGTTCCCCTTAGGTATGAAAGCCGGCTAGGTGACTTTGAGCCAATCACCAGGAGAGGGTGAGTTCTAGTTCCACCTTAGGTATGAAAGTTAACTGGGTGACTTTGGGCCAATCACCAGGAGAGGGTGAGTTCTAGTCCTGCCTTAAGCATGAAAACTGACTGAGTAACTTTGGGCCAATCACCAGGAGGGGTGAGTTCTAGTTCCCCTTAGGTATGAAAGCCGGTTAGGTGACTTTGACTCACCAGGAGAGGGTGAGTTCTAGTTCCACCTTAGGCATGAAAGTTAGCTGGGTGACTTTGGGCCAATCACCAGGAGAGGGTGAGTTCTAGTCCTGCCATAAGCATGAAAACTGACTGAGTAACTTTGGGCCAATCACAGGAGGGGGTGAGTTCTAGTTCCCTTAGGTATGAAAGCGGTTAGGTGACTTTGAGCCAATCACCAGGAGAGGGTGAGTTCTAGTTCCACCTTAGGCATGAAAGTTAACTGGGTGACTTTGGGCCAAACACCAGGAGAGGGTGAGTTCTAGTCTGTCATAAGCATGAAAACTGACTGAGTAACTTTGGGCCAATCACCAGGAGGGGGGTGAGTTCTAGTTCCCCTTAGGTATGAAAGCCGGTTAGGTGACTTTCACTCACCAGGAGAGGGTGAGTTCTAGTTCCACCTTAGGCATGAAAGTTAGCTGGGTGACTTTGGCCCAATCACCAGGAGACGGTGAGTTCTAGTCCCGCCTTAGTCATAAAAGACAGCCTTTCAGCAAATCACTCTCTTTCATCCCGACCCACCTCACAAGATTGTCATTGTGGGGAAAAATAGGGAGGAGGAAGGTGTGTTGGAGACGTTCGCTGCCTTATTTGTCAAAATAATAAAGGCGGGATACAAACCAACCAGGCAGAATACAGAAAAAAGGTGGAAATACGCAGGCCACACCAAGTTCATAAAACCAAGATTCTAGTCCTCTGCTGTGAAATGCTGCCCCCTGGTGGCTGCTTAGCTAAGGGCGAAGAAGAAGAAGAAAAAAAAAACGCCTTGCAAAGGGCCACCTGCTTCTCGATACTGTCCGAAGACCAGGTCAGCGTCATCCAGAGCTGCGATGCTGCCCACGTGCGTCCCTTCTTCCCCGTAGTTGGTCATATAAAAGGAAATTCGGCCCTGGGAATAAAAAAAAGAGGGCGGGGCTGTGAATGCTGGCCAGGGCTTCAGATCCGAAGCCTAAAAGATGCTAATAAAGGAGAATATTGGGAGCTCAGGGGCGCCATGAATGAAAGGGACCTTGGTGCTCTCTGAGATTCACTGTTTTCTTGCAGACGTTTCATTACCAAACTAGGTAACATTATCAGTGCTATAATGGAGTGGTGTTTTTGGAGAGGAGGAGGAGCACGAGAGGGAGGAGGAGCAGGAGAAGGAGGAGAGGGGGAGAGGGAGGAACAAGAGGAGAAGGACTATGGGGTCCTTGGTGCCCTCTGAGCTTGTTTTCTTCCAGACGTTTCATTACCAAACTAGGTAACATCATCAGTGCTACAAGAGAGTGGTGTCTGTGGAGAGGAGGAGGAGGAAGAGGAGGAGGAGGACGACGACTGTGGGATCCTTGCTACTCTCTGACCTTGCTTGTTTTCTTGCAGACATTTCATTACCAAACCAGGTAACATTATCAGTGCTAATAAGGAGTACAGTTTGCTGTCAGTTTGTATTTTGGCACCCAGACCCCATGCCAGGTAAGGCTTTCTAGGTCACCTTTCGGACCTCAAAATTCTTAATTTTAAATCCCACGGACCACTAATATGCATTTTTTAAAAAGATAACTAGTATTTAGTACAATATAAAAAAAATGCAAATAATTTTTCTGCGGGACCGCCAACCCCTTGTCTTGGTCCTGGATGCAAACTGTCACCCCAATGGTGTTTTTATTTTATTTTATTTAAATTTGTATACCGCCCTTCTCCTAGTGGACTCAGGGCGGTGCACAGCCAAGTAAAAAACATCCAATACAAAATTTAAAAATTTAAAAGAATTATACCCTTCGGCCAAAAATTTAAGAACCTTACGACTAAAACCCATTAAAAATTAACAATTAAAAATCTAATATCTCAAAAACTGGGGGGGGGGGGGGGGAGGTGTTGCCATGCGGGGCCATCCAAAGCTCCCCGGCCCTGGCCCCTCCCTCCCTCCCTCCCTGCCATCCTCCCACCTGTCTCTGGGACTCGTACAGGATGCGATCCATGGTATTGAGTAGTGTCATGCTCTTGTATAACTTCAGCACTTCCTCCTGGGAAATCTGCAGAGGGAGGAAAGACGGGGTGAAAAGTGAAAGGCCGGCTATTTGGGGGGGGGGGGAGCAGGTAAGAGGGAGGTGGAAGCCTAAAAAAGGGGTCTCCAACCTGGGCAACTTTAAGACTGGTGGACTTCAACTCCCAGAATTCCTCAGCCAGCACATGTGGAAGTCCACAAGTCTTCAAAGTTACAACTTTGGAGACCCCTGCTCTAAATCAGGGGTCTCCAACTTCGGCCACTTTAAGACTTGTGGCTGGCTGAGGAATTCTGGGAGTTGAAGGCCACAAGTCTTAAAGTGGACAAGGTTGACTGAGGAATTCTGGGAGATGAAGGCCACAAGTCTTAAAGTGGCCAAGGTTGACTGAGGAATTCTGGGAGATGAAGTCCACAAGTCTTATAGTGGACAAGGTTGACTGAGGAATTCTGGGAGTTGAAGGCCTCAAGTCTTAAAGTGGACAAGGTTGACTGAGGAATTCTGGGAGTTGAAGGCCTCAAGTCTTAAAGTGGACAAGGTTGACTGAGGAATTCTGGGAGATGAAGTCCACAAGTCTTAAAGTGGACAAGGTTGGCTGAGGAATTCTGGGAGTTGAAGGCCTCAAGTCTTAAAGTGGACAAGGTTGACTGAGGAATTCTGGGAGTTGAAGGCCTCAAGTCTTAAAGTGGACAAGGTTGACTGAGGAATTCTGGGAGTTGAAGGCCTCAAGTCTTAAAGTGGCCAAGGTTGACTGAGGAATTCTGGGAGATGAAGTCCACAAGTCTTAAAGTGGACAAGGTTGGCTGAGGAATTCTGGGAGTTGAAGGCCTCAAGTCTTAAAGTGGACAAGGTTGACTGAGGAATTCTGGGAGTTGAAGGCCTCAAGTCTTAAAGTGGACAAGGTTGACTGAGGAATTCTGGGAGTTGAAGTCAACAAGTCTTAAAGTGGCCAAGGTTGACTGAGGAATTCTGGGAGTTGAAGGCCTCAAGTCTTAAAGCGGACAAGGTTGGCTGAGGAATTCTGGGAGTTGAAGGCCTCAAGTCTAAAGTGGCCAAGGTTGGCTGAGGAATTCTGGGAGATGAAGTCCACAAGTCTTATAGTGGACAAGGTTGGCTGAGGAATTCTGGGAGTTGAAGGCCACAAGTCTTAAAGCGGACAAGGTTGGCTGAGGAATTCTGGAGTTGAAGGCCTCAAGTCTTAAAGCGGACAAGGTTGGCTGAGGAATTCTGGGAGTTGAAGGCCTCAAGTCTTAAAGCGGACAAGGTTGGCTGAGGAATTCTGGGAGTTGAAGTCAACAAGTCTTAAAGTGGCCAAGGTTGACTGAGGAATTCTGGGAGTTGAAGGCCACAAGTCTTAAAGTGGACAAGGTTGACTGAGGAATTCTGGGAGATGAAGTCCACAAGTCTTAAAGCGGACAAGGTTGACTGAGGAATTCTGGGAGTTGAAGGCCACAAGTCTTAAAGTGGACAAGGTTGACTGAGGAATTCTGGGAGTTGAAGGCCTCAAGTCTTAAAGTGGACAAGGTTGACTGAGGAATTCTGGGAGTTGAAGGCCACAAGTCTTAAAGTGGACAAGGTTGACTGAGGAATTCTGGGAGTTGAAGGCCTCAAGTCTTAAAGTGGACAAGGTTGACTGAGGAATTCTGGGAGTTGAAGGCCACAAGTCTTAAAGTGGCCAAGGTTGACTGAGGAATTCTGGAGTTGAAGGCCACAAGTCTTAAAGTGGACAAGGTTGACTGAGGAATTCTGGGAGTTGAAGGCCACAAGTCTTAAAGTGGCCAAGGTTGGCTGAGGAATTCTGGGAGATGAAGGCCACAAGTCTTAAAGTGGCCAAGGTTGACTGAGGAATTCTGGGAGTTGAAGGCCTCAAGTCTTATAGTGGCCAAGGTTGGCTGAGGAATTCTGGGAGATGAAGGCCACAAGTCTTAAAGTGGCCAAGTTGACTGAGGAATTCTGGGAGTTGAAGGCCTCAAGTCTTAAAGTGGGCAAGGTTGGCTGAGGAATTCTGGAGATGAAGGCCACAAGTCTTAAAGTGGACAAGGTTGACTGAGGAATTCTGGGAGTTGAAGGCCTCAAGTCTTAAAGTGGACAAGGTTGACTGAGGGAATTCTGGGAGTTGAAGGCCTCAAGTCTTAAAGTGGACAAGGTTGACTGAGGAATTCTGGGAGTTGAAGGCCTCAAGTCTTAAAGTGGACAAGGTTGACTGAGGAATTCTGGAGTTGAAGGCCTCAAGTCTTAAAGTGGACAAGGTTGACTGAGGAATTCTGGGAATTGAAGGCCTCAAGTCTTAAACTGGCCAAGGTTGACTGAGGAATTCTGGGAGTTGAAGGCCACAAGTCTTAAAGTGGCCAAGGTTGGGGACCCCTGAGGCCTAGATCTCACCTGGGGATCCTCACTGGGGTTGACAATCTGCCCCTGCCGGTCCATGACCCGGTAGATGGGGATCCCCGAAATGACGTTGGGTTGGATGAATTCCAGCTTGTCGATAAACACGGCCGAGGCTCCCGGGAACTGGGGCTTCTCCTCCAGGGAGGTGAATTCCTGCTGCCGAAGACCCTCCTGGGGAAAGAGCAGAAATAGGTGTGCATGAAGGGGTGAGCAGAGCTGCCCCACAGCTGGCTCGGGAGGGCGACCCACCGATCAGATTTAGAGGGAGTCCTCGACCTTACGACCGCTCGCTTTGTGGCTGCCTGGGGAATTCTGGGAGTTGCAAGTACCACGCATCTTCAAGCTGCCAAAGCTGAGAGACGCAGCTTTGGGCTGTGACAGAATGAAAGAAGCTAGCTTTCATTTTATTTTTTTTATTCTAACCAGTTCAGTCGAGATTCTTTGAAGTTCAACAGCTGGTGATGGCACGGTATCCTATTCAAACCTTAACCAGGTCAGTCTATGCTTGGATTTTTTAAAAAGATTAATCAGGATTAGATAGGAGATAGATAGAAAAGGGAGGGAGGGAGGAATTATTATTATTATTATTATTATTATTATTATTATTATTATTATTATGAAAGAAAGAAAAAAGAAAGAAAGAAAGGGAAGGAAGGAAAGGAATGAAAGAAAGAAAGAAAAAAGAAAGAAAGAAAAAGAGGAAGGAAGGAAAGAAGGAAAGAAAGAAAGGAGGGAGGGAGGAAAGGAGGGAGGGAGGGAGAAAAAGAGAAAAGAAGGAAAGGGTAGGAAGAGAAAAAGAAAGGAAGAAAAAGAAAGAAGGAAGGAAGGAAAGAAAGAAAGAAGGAAGGAAGGAAAGAAAGAAAGAGAAAAAAAGAAAGAAGGAGAAGAAAGGAAGGAAAGAAAGATAGAAAAAAAGAAAGGAAGAAAGAAGGAAGGAAAGGAATGAAAGAAAGAAAGAAAAAAGAAAGAAAAAGAAGGAAGGAAAGAAGGAAAGAAAGAAAGAAAGGAGGGAGGGAGGAAAGGAGGGAGGAAAGGAGAAAAAGAGAAAAGAAGGAAAGGATAGGAAGAGAAAAAGAAAGAAAAAGAAAGAAAGAAGGAAAGAAAGAAAGAAGGAAGGAAGGAAAGAAAGAAAAAGAAAAAAGAAAGAAAGAAAGAGAAGAAAGGAATGAAAGAAAGAAAAAAGAAAGAAAGAAAAAGAAGGAAGGAAGGAAAGAAGGAAAGAAAGAAAGGAGGGAGGGAGGAAAGGAGGGAGGGAGGGAGAAAAAGAGAAAAAAAGGAAAGGATAGGAAGAGAAAAAGAAAGAAAGAAAAAAAGAAAGAAAAGGAAGGAAAGAAAGAAGGAAGGAAGGAAGGAAGGAAAGAAAGAAAGAAAGAAAGAAAGAAAGAAAGACAGAAAGAAAGAAAGAGAAAAAGAGAAAGATTGATCCTTTTTACTGGAAAGACAGCCTCTATGAGAATAATTCCACAACCTTATAAACTAGATGAACAGGTCTGCTATTGTTTCAGCCTGCTCCAAATTCTCTCCCAAGGCCGGCTGTCCAAACTGAAAACTCTCCCGGCTGTTCCAGATGAAGAGTTTCGCTTGCAGGAGGGCAGAATCTTGAATTCACAAACCAAAACATCTTTGTGGGCATAAAAACGCCCACAAAGGGGAAATCCTCTCTCTCCATTCCCACCAGGAAAAGCTGGATTGCCGTCCGGTAAATAAGCTTGATGCCGATCGTGGGTGCCCGGGTAGCGCCGGGGAGAAGCCTGACCTGCCTCCAACACGCCCCTTGAAACGGACCAATCATCGCAGGAGACGCTCCCAAGGGCACCGTCTGCCCTCCTCCCTTTTGCCAAGAAACCCAAGGCTGGCCCACCGGCGGGTGACACCCCCTGCCTGCAATTGAAAATGCCTTTGTGGAAAGGACATTCTTTAAAAGCAAACCGGGCATTTTCTGCACGAGGCTTCCGCTAATTCCAAAGTTAAACTGATTTTTGCATTTTTGCATGGGACGGGTGGGCTTGAGCCCGGGGCCATTTGGCAGTGCTTTCTCAGAAGCCGATCCCACTGAATTGCAGTGGGGCTCACTCCCCCTGGAAGCCTGCCCACCATTGCAGGTTTTCACGTGCAAAGATTCATTCAAATATTCAGTGCAAAAAAACCAATGAGTTTTTGGTTTTTGCCTGTGGTTGCATGACTGCCAGCACATCGGAGGCCACATCGAATGCGCCAGAGATGGGACAAACAGCATCCCATTAAGATGTGGCCTAATGACTAGGAGATGTGGTCTATGACCAACTTAGCAACTAGGTCTAGAAGATGGAGAGTTCTAGTCCCACCTTAGGCATGAAAGCCAACTGGGTGACTTTGGGCCAATCACCAGGAGACTGGGAGTTCTAGTCCCACCTCAAGCATGGAAGCCAGCTGGGTGACTTTGGGCCAATCACCAGGAGACTGGGAGTTCTAGTCTCACCTTAAGCATGAAAGCCAGCTGGGTGACTTTCGGCCAATCACCAGGAGACTGGGAGTTCTAGTCCCACCTCAAGCATGAAAGCCAGCTGGATGACTTTGGGCCAATCACCAGGAGACTGGGAGTTCTAGTCCCACTTCAAGCATGAAACCCAGCTGGATGACTTTAGGCCAATCACCAGGAGACTGGGAGTTCTAGTCCCACCTCAAGCATGAAAGCCAGCTGGGTGACTTTCGGCCAATCACCAGGAGACTGGGAGTTCTAGTCCCACCTCAAGCATGAAAGCCAGCTGGATGACTTTGGGCCAATCACCAGGAGACTGGGAGTTCTAGTCCCACTTCAAGCATGAAACCCAGCTGGATGACTTTAGGCCAATCACCAGGAGACTGGGAGTTCTAGTCCCACCTCAAGCATGGAAGACAGCTGGGTGACTTTGGGCCAATCACCAGGAGACTGGGAGTTCTAGTCCCACTTCAAGCATGGAAGCCAGCTGGGTGACTTTGGGCCAATCACCAGGAGACTGGGAGTTCTAGTCCCACCTCAGGCATGGAAGCCAGCTGGGTGACTTTGGGCCAATCACCAGGAGACTGGGAGTTCTAGTCCTGCCCTAGGCAGGAAAGCCGGCTGTGTGATTTGGGTCCAGCAGTGCCTCTTTCTCAGCCCAACCCAACTCACAAGGTTGTAGAGAAAACAGCACGAGGAAGAAATATTAAATATGCTCACTGCCTTGAGTTATTTATAAATAAACGAAATCAATGTGCTGCATGGATCTAGTAGAACAATGGGCATTGCAATTCAACAGGCCTTCAGGGCAAAAGATAAGGAAAGGTTACATACACAATACATGTGTACATGGACACACACATACACAAAAACATACAGAGCTACATACATCTGATTTCAAACAAGCCTCCCTTCTCAATCACCACCAAGAATTGTGAGATTATTTATTTATCTTTGAGGTTGCATCCCCATCTTCTTAACCCAATGTTTTTTTCAATAACCTAACTAGGGAATTCTGGGAGTTGAAGTCCATAAATCTTATAAAGTTGAGAAACACTGAGTTAAAGTTGGATAAGGGGGCTGAGGAACCTGGAAATCTAGTTTCACGCCCAACTTTGCAGGTGTTCTCAACCAGATCGATGGCGGATGGCCCAATCTCTCTTATTTATGGAATTATTTGTTTGCCCACCTCAACAACTGACACTTGGCAGCGGCCATCCACTGCCTTTTGCAAGGTTGTTGGCGGGAAAAAAAAAACCTTTGCACATACGTGCAACACATCATTTGCACACATACGTGCAACACATTACACACAAAGGTGTAAGGGTCCTCGGATCTCCAGCCCACACTCCTTTCCCTCTCTTTAAAGCAGGGCTCTCCAAACTTGGGAACTTGAAGACGTGGGGACTTCAACTCCCAGAATTCCCCAGCTGGCCAGCTGGGGAATTCTGGGAGTTGAAGTCCCCACGTCTTCAAGTTCCCAAGTTTGGACAGCTCTGTTTTAAAAGATGAGGGGGGGGGGGGTGGGTGTTGCCAGATTTTTTTTTGGGGGGGAAAGGGTGTGTGTGTGTCTCATCTTGCAGAGATTCCGGCCCTCCCTTGACCACAAGGTGGTACCCTCCAAGGTTGCAGGACAAACAATACCCAATCTCCTTGGCTGGGGAGTGTGGGGACTGTAGTCCCTCTGCTCCAGGGGACAATGGGTCATCAGCCTTGTCTAATCACTCCTCGGATCCCAAATTGGATCATTTCTCATTACGTCAGGTCATTCCCCCCCCCACCACTTCTGGGGGGTCTCGGTCAAGAACTTTGCAAAGACTTTTGGGGAACCCCAAATAACACCCCCCCTTCATCTGTTTAAGGGGAGCCCCCTCCCCAACATTCCTCCCTCCCATCTGGGGAAGCCCCACCCCCACCCCCATAACTCTCCCCCAATTCACTGGCCAGGGCAGTTCACCCACCACGACCACCGACCCAATAGCCACCTATGGAGACCCCCCCCCTCCCCCCCCCCCCCTTGGAGCCCTCGCCCCCCCAAAGCCCCCCCCTCCCACTTGCAGGCCCCCCCAGGAAGCCCCCTCCCCTAGGAAGCCCCCCTCCCCAGACTCACCCCTCCTGCGCGCAGCCCCCGGACCCCGGCCGGGCCGGGGAGCCGAAGCCCCCGCAAGAAGCCCAGCCCGGCTCGACCCACCGCCGCCGCTGCCATCTTGCCGGAGAGGCGGAGAGCCAGCAAGCCGCGCCCGGGAACGGGCGGAGCGGAGCCGCCGCCTCCTCCTCCTCTGTCCTGGGCAAAGCAGGGGCGCCTGGCAGCCTCCCCCGGAGCCCCTCTAGGGTCGGTGGGGGCGATTGTGCCAGGCCCCTGGAGGGCGCCCGGTTGGAGGAGGAGACTGCGGGAAGGGGTGTCGGGGGGGGGCTTTATGGGAGCCTTTATCCTTCAGGTGATGGGCGAGGAAGGTGGGCATGGACTCCCCTTCGCCCCTCTGCAAGTCTCCCACCAGCCTGCAAGAGAGAGAGAGAGAGAGAGAGGCCGATATATATATGGGGGAGAGGAAGGATGGACGGATGGAGAAATGGATATCTAGAAAGAGGGAGGGAGGGATAAAGGAGAGATTGATAGATGATAGACATATAGACGATAGATATAGAGATCAGATAGAGATAGATTAGATAGATTGGATAGATCGATGATATGGAGATTAGATAGATATAGATAAGATAGATGGGTGGGTGGGTGGATAGATGATATAGAGATTAGGTAGGTAGGTAGTAGGTACATAGATGGATGGATGATAAGTAGATAAATGATAGATGATATAGATAGATAGATAGATAGATAGATAGATAGATAGATAGATGATAGGTAGATAAATGATAGATGATATAGAGATTAGATAGATAGATAGATGATAGATGATATAGAGATTAGATAGATAGATAGATAGATGATAGATGATATAGAGATTAGATAGATAGATAGATAGATAGATAGATAGATAGATAGATAGATAGATAGATAGATAGATAGATAGATGATAGGTAGATAAATGATAGATAAAGATAGATAGATATAGACAGACAGATGATAAATAAATAAGGGAATAGAGAGAGAGATGGATGATAGTTAGATAAATGATAGATGATATAGCGATTAGATAGATGGATGGATGGATGGATGGATGATAGGTAGATAAATGATAGAGATTGATATAGACAGACGTGATAAATAAATAAGGGAATGGATAGATAGATAGCTAGATAGATAGATGGATGGATGATAGGTAGATAAATGATAGATGATATAGAGAATAGATAGATAGATAGATAGATAGATAGATAGATAGATAGATGATAGATAGATAGAGATAGATATAGACAGACAGATGATAAATAAATAAGGGAATGGATAGATACATAGAGAGAGAGAGAGATAAAGAGAGAGATATAGATGATAGTTAGATAAATAGATAGATAGATGATAGGTAGATAAATTAGAGAGAGATAGAGAATAGATATAGACAGACAGATGATAAATAAGTAAGGGAATGGATAGATATATAGATAGATAGATGATAAATAGATAGATAGATAGATAGATAGGTAGGTAGATAGATAGATAGATAGATAGATAGATAGATAGATAGATAGATAGATAGATACCCATGTTTTCCTGAAAATAAGATCCTGTTTTATATTTTTTGAACCTTGAAATAAGCGCTTGGCCTTATTGCCATGCACTCAAAATCCCGATTGGGTTTATTATCAGGGGAATGTCTTATTTTGGGGGAAACAGGGCAGATAGATAGATGAGAGAGAGAGAGAGAGAGAGAGAAATGGATATCTGGATGGATATCTAATCCATATGGATTAGATAGATAGATGTATAGATTAGAGGTAGGTAGGTAGAGGGGGAGAGAAAAAGAGAGAGAGAGAGAGAGATAGGAATGGAGACAGAGATAAAGCTACATAGATATAACGGTTAGATTGGGAGACTCTTCTGGAGTAGAAACTCTCATAAATTGAATAAAAGAAATAAATAAATAGGGAAAACCACAAAATAACAGAACTTCTATGTGTTGCAAAAGCCACGGGGGGGGCGGGCCCTACAGGGCGCGGGGGCGTGGCGTGGCGCCCAACCGCCAATCAGCCGTCCCTACGCCAGGCTGGGGCGGGGGGGGTGGAAAGAAAAAAACCCGGATGCGGAAGTGCCGCGAAGGCAACCACGTGGGCAAGCATGGAGCTCGAGCAGCGGCGCTTCGACTCCGGCGATCTGTCTTCTTTGCGCCGGATCGTGTGCGAGCAAGGGCCGATCTCCCGCCCCGACGGCTCCGTCTCTTGGATGCAGGGTGCGCAGCGCGGCTGGCTGTCCTCCCTCCTAGCTGCCCCCCCTCCCCCACCCTCCTCTTGATCTCCTCGTGGTGCTTTTTCCGGGATTTTTTTTTTTTTTTTTTTGTAGGGGGTTGGGATCACCTTTTTCTAATCAGGCGCCTTCGGGATAGGCTGGACTCCAACTCCCATTCTCCCAGGTCTGTGCGGTGTCAGGCAGGATGGGAGCCGAGCCAGGGGCATTGTGAGCTTTTCTGGAAGAATTCCTTTTAATTCCAAAAAAAAATAATAATTTAGAGTTCAATTCCAGTGGTGCTCAGAGGGGTGTTGTGGTTGGATATGTGTCATGGCTGATTTCTTTCCCTGGCATTAAAAGATGGTTTAAACCAGTGGTAGAATTCGTTTTTTTACAACCACCTGTTCTGTGGGCGTGGCTTGGTGGGCGTGGCAGGGGAAGGATAGTGCAAAATCCCCATTCCCTCCCCACTCCAGGGGAAGGATACTGCAAAATCCCCATTCCTTCCCCACTCCTGGGGGAAGGATATTGCAAAATCTCCATTCCCAGCCCACTCTGGGGCCAGCCAGAGGTGGTATTTGCCGGTTCTTCGAACTACTCAAAATTTCCTCTACCGGTTCTCCAGAACCTGTCAGAACCTGCTGGATTTCACCCCTGGTTTAAACTAGGGGTCTCCAACCTTGGCCACTTTTAAGACTTGTAGACTTCAACTCCCAGAATTTCCTAGCCAGCATAGTGTACAAGTCTTAAAGTGGTCAAATTTGGAGACCCCCTAGTTTAAAACCATTTTTGTTTTCACTCAAATGTGACCATTTTAGGAGGTGCGGACTTCAACTCCCAGGGTTATTCTCGGCACACACCCTTTTTTAAAAAAACGATGGAGGATTGCCGAAAGTTGTCCTTTGGATAACTGTCCCAAAGATGCTTTTCTTTTTTTTTTCAAGAGGCAAAACTGGACTTTTCTGGTTTTTCTTTGAAGACGTTTCGCTTCTCATCCAAGAAGCTTCTTCAGCTCTGACTGGAGGGTAGGGAATGGAAAGGGTTTGCATCCAAGAAGCTGGCTGGGGAATTCTGGGAGTTGAAGTCCACCAGGATTAACGTGGCCAACGTCGGAGACCCCTGCTTTGGATAACTATCTTGCTACATCCTCCCTTCCCCTGCCCCCATTATTATCAATTCAACATATTTGTGCTGCAGTCCAGTCTCCCACCCAAAAAGGGGGATTTAGAATAGAGGCATTTCTGTAATTCTATCATTTTTTATAATTCATCTGAAAGTAGTATGCTTAGAGCCTTCCTTTATATTATTATTATTTCCAGGGGATACCTCCGTGTTAGTCGGCGTGTACGGACCCACAGAAGTGAAGGTCAGCAAGGAAATCTACGATAAAGCGACTCTGGAGGTGCTGCTAAGACCGAAAGTCGGCCTGCCAGGTGAGGGGGCCCTGTGGTAGAGATCACCCCAAAGGGTGGGTTCTTTGAGGGGGGTTTTTTTGGCCTGATAAATGCTGGGGGTACAATATCTATGTATGTATGTATTTGTATCCTTGCCTTTATTACTTTGACAAAAAACTCAAGGTGACGAACATATCTAACATGCCTTCCTCCTGTTTTCCCCACAACAACAACTCTGTGAGGAGGGTTGGGCTGAGAGAGTGTGTGATTGGCTCAAAGTCACCCAGTCGGCTTTCGTGCCTAAGGTGGGACTAGAACTCACTGTCTCCTGGTGATTGGCCCAAAGTCACTCAGTTGGCTTTCGTGCCTAAGGCAGGACTCCCAGTCTCCTGCTTCACTTACCATTGGGGCTGCTATGTGTATATTCTCGTGTGTGTATTCACTGAAATGAATTTGTATAGATTTGGAACTTTGCGTGCTCATGCTCTTTTCTTATTTTATCCTTGAGAAGCACATTAGAAAGACAAGAATATTACTCCTTTAACTAAGTCACGTGGGTGATCTGTTTAATAACCGCCGTGCATTTTAGACCATGATTCCAGATTCCATTGCCGTTGTAAGTCGAGGACTAACTGTAATTTAGGTTGGCTTCCCAGGAGGGATGGATATGCAAGTCCAGGGAAGGTGTAACATAACCTACGATGAGCCACCAACATGAACCGTGGTGGCGCAGTGGTTAGAATGCAGTATTGCAGGCTGCTTCTGCTGACTGCAGGCAGCCTGCTATTTGGCAGTTCAAATTTCACCAGGCTCAAGGTTGACTCAGCCTTCCATCGTTCCGAAGTGGGTGAAATGAGGACCCAGATTGTTGGGGGCAATAGGCTGACTCTGTAAACCAACCTTCTTCCTTCCTTCCTTCCTTCCTTCCTTCCTTCCTTCCTTCCTTCCTTCCTTCCTTCCTTCCTTCCTTCCTTCCTTCCTTCCTTCCTTCCTTCCTTCCTTGGGGTTAGAATGCAGCATTGCAGGCTAATTCTGCTGACTGCCGGCAGTTTGATTCTGACCGGCTCAAGGTTGACTCAGCCTTCCATCCTTCCGAGGTGGGTCAAATGAAGACCCAGATTGTTGGGGGCAATAGGCTGACTCTGTAAACCAACCTTCCTTCCTTCCTTCCTTCCTTCCTTCCTTCCCTTCCTTCCTTCCTTCCTTCCTTCCTTCCTTCCTTCCTTCCTTCCTGTTAGAATGCAGCATTGAAGGCTAATTCTGCCAACTGCCGGCAGTTCGATTCTGACCGGCTCAAGGTTGGACTCAGCCTTCCATCCTTCCTAGGTGGGTAAAATGAGGAAGCAGATTGTTGGGGACAGGATGCTGACTCTGTAAACCGTTTAGAGAGCTGTAAAGCACTATGAAGCAGTATATAAGTCTTCAGCGCTATTGCTACTGCTGTTGCTACATTTGTGAATTGTTGGAGTGTGGCCGCTGTGTCCAGCTCTTCCTCTGATTTAAATTCTTGGGCACCTTACCCCTTCCCCCCCACCTGTTTCTTAAAGGGAACACGATCCAAAGGTGAGTGATCTGTTATCTTCATTAATCAAGCAGGCCATCTGGAATCTCAGCAAGAACGCCATCTGGTATTTTGTTCCCTCTGCCAGGAGCTGACAAAAGAATATCATTGGCAAGCGGAGAAGGAAACAAACACAAAAGCAAAAATTCCCTTCTCCAAGACCCTTTTCAATTCTGACAGAGTCTCTGGAGAAGCTGGCTTCGCTGGAAATTGTGCAGTTGTGCCATTGGAGAAAAAAACAACAACTGGATTTATTTCCTTGTAGAGGAACGAGAAAAGCTTTTCTGAAAGATCTTATGGATCCATTGGATCACAGAAAATTACGGTACCCTGTTTCCCCCCCAGATAAGACATCCCCTGACAATAAGCCCAATCGGGCTTTTGAGCGCACGGCAATAAGGCCAAGCGCTTATTTCAGGTTTCAAAAAAATATAAGACAGGGTCTTATTTTCGGGGAAACACGGTAGAAGCTAATAGTGATATATATTTATATAAAATTGCAATCTTTCATTATTCAATTATTCCATGTTTTCTCATATATATATATATATTTGTCTATGTAAGTTTTCACGGGTATATATGTCTGTACAGTTAATATTTCGGTTTCTTCCCGTGTAATTGTGAACATATCCCTAAAAGGGTATCCTTTTAGGGATATGTTCACAATTACACGGGAAGAAACCCGAAATATTAACTGTGTACACACACACACACACACACACACATATAACTACTAGAAATATATAAGTTGGATTGAAAGTAATAACTATGACTAATGCTATTAGTCTTATTTGTATTAGAATATAATAAAATAAGAGTAATAAGAGAAAACATGGAATAATTGAGTAAGGATAGATTGCCACTTTATATAAATATGTATTATTGTTAGAAATATATAAATTGGATTGAAAGTAATAACTATGACTAATAGTATTATAACATCCCAGGGTCGTGTGAATGCCGTTCGCGATCTTCCTAGCCAGCAAAGCCAATGGGGGAAAGCCAGATCCGCTTAAGGACCTCGTGATTCATTTAACGGCGACAGTGTCTTGCTTAATAATCGAAAAAGTTGTAAAAAAAAAAGAAATCGAGCACGAATCGCCGAACTAACCGCCTTGTTTAGGAAAAAGGAAATTTTGGTCCCCATTGTTGGATCGTAAGCCGAGGGCTGCCTCTGTTTGATTCTTTTCTGTATTGTGATATTTTAGCAAATTTCTAAGCCTTCTAACACACACATACCTCTTTTTCAGGGGTCTACGAAAAAAGCAGAGAACAGATGATTAAGAAAACTTGTGAGGCAGTGATTTTGGGCACCCTGCATCCCCGTTCCTCTATTACGGTTGTTCTCCAGGTGATTACAGATGCTGGATCTGTATCCTTTTTAGAAAAAAAAAAGGTATTTTGAAGGGGGACAGGAAATGGCAGGGAGGGGGGGAGTTGAGGGAACTTTTTGCTGCTCTGTGTTACACACACACATGCCCCCAAACCCAAGTCTGGATAGATGTTCAATTGGCACTTGGTGTGGACTTCTGAATTCCGATGGGGGCTGGATTACAATTTCTTTGTACTTACCTACAATCTGTCCCCTAGTTAATATAATGTTTCTCAGCCTCGTATTTTTAAGATGTATGGACTTCAATTCCCAGAATTCCCTAGCCAGCCTGCTGCCTGGGTAATCCTGGCAGTCGAAGTCCACACCTCTTAAAGTGCACTAGCATGCTAGCTGGGGAATTCTGGGGAGGTCCATATCTGCTGACTGGCGAATTCTGGGAGTTGAAGTCCATGCGTGCTAGCTAGAGAATTCTGGGGAGGTCCATACATGCTGGCTGGGGAATTCTGGGAATTGAAGTCCATGCGTGCTAACAGGAGAATTTTGGGAGTCGAAGTCCACACCTCTTAAAGTGCTCTAGCATGCTAGCTGGGGAATTCTGGGGAGGTCCATATATGCTGGCTGGGGAATTCTGGGAGTTGAAGTCCATGCGTGCTAGCTGGAGAATTCTGGGAGTTGAAGTCCCAGAGGTGGGAGGGAACCTTCCAAGATCCGTCGAACTACTGTGCCCATCACCCCCAGCCAGCCCTGGGATATATCGGCCTCGAGAAGGGACTTCTCGTCTGTTTTCCAAGGCACGGTGTGATTTGAATCAATTAGAAGGAAAAAACAGCCAGACTAACCCAGAGCTCCTGACCTAACTAAACCATTAAAAAAAAAAAAGGCAATAAAGAGACTTTAGCGTGGGGTGAGAGAATATGGCTTGTCCTGTCTTTAACCCGGTTTCCCCTCTGCCAGGCTCCTGCTGGCATGATGGCTTGTGAGAGTTAGGTTAGGCTCACCTCCTTTATTTATTGATTTATTTTCCCTGTGGGTTGAGGATTTTCTTCCTCTTCTCTCTTCTTCTACTTCCAAAGGTTTCTGGGCTGCCACAGAGATGAAATAATTGGGCAAAGCAGAGGGCGGCAGAGGGCAGCAGCGGCCTTAAAACTCTTTTTTTTAAAGCCTTGCCAGTCAATCCCCAGGTAGCTACTTATCTGCAGCCCGCAGAGGGCAATGAAGCATTGGCAGAGAGCAGGAAACCTTGAGAACGAAGAGAAGAGAGGCTGGCAACCCTTTTGCATGTTAAAACGGACAGCCTGGTGAGCAACTGGCATTGCAGGGCTCCTGCCCTCACACACCCCTCCCCAATTCCCCCCCTTCCAAGCTCTCACTTTCTCCCCTTGAAAGCAGCTGAAGCCGGAAGGAAGAATTGGCAGGAGAAAAGAGAAATTCCTTATACGTCCCAGGGATGGGGGAAAATGGAGAGATAGTAGGGAGAATGGATTGCCCCGAGATCAAAATATTAAGATCCTTCCTTTTGAGATAGCTAGCCTTTTCCATTCTGGAATCCGAACAGGGTAATCCTCGACGTACAACCAAAATTGAAACCAGAATTCCCGTTTGCTGTGCAAGGCAGTTCTTCAGTGAGTCACACGGAGTTTTTTTGGGGGGCCACGGTTGTTAAGTGAATTGTGCAGTCGTTAAGTGAACTTGCTTCTTTCCAATGACTTTGTTTTGATGGGAGCCAGCTGGGAAGGATGGAAAAGACTTATCACATGACCCCAGGATGCTGAAGCTGTTAACTAATAAATTTGATCGTTGCCAAGCAACCCACATTTTGATCCTGTGTCTGTGGAAATGCGTGACGGTTATCGGGGTGAGAACCGGGACATAAGTCCCTTTTATCAGTGGTCACTAAACGGACGGTCGTAAGTTGAAGACTTGTCTGTATATAGAGAACATTGTTATTAAAATATATATATATTGCCACCCGATTTCCCGGCGAGACTGGGTAGCTGGGAATTGCAGAACATGGTTATTAAAATATATATATTGCCACCCGATTTCCCGGCGAGACTGGGTAGCTGGGAATTGCAGATCCGGCCCGGTTTATCCGCTTCCTTGTCTGCACCTGTTGGATTGTTCTTGTTTTCCTTGAATCAAAATCTCTGCCCGAAAAAGCTGCTGTCCAGCTGTTTGAATGCTGCCTGCGTGGGACTGATGGATGCGGGGCTGCCCATGAGCGCCTTGTTCTGCGGCGTGACCTGCGCCTTGGATGCCGATGGAAACATCCTCTTGGACCCCACCGCGAAGCAAGAAAAGGTGGGAATCTTTGTTCATTCCGGGCTGGATAAAACGCTGGTGGCAGGGAGTACCAAAGGCCCCACGGGGGACTGGGAAGGAGCAGGCAGGAAGACAACATGTGCAAAGATTTGGAAAAATTCTGCTCTTATCACTAACGGAACAGCCATTGTTTCTCCACTTCTGTACCTTTAAGAGGAGTGGACTTCAACTCCCAGAATTCCCCAGCCAGCGTTGCTGGCTGGGGAATTCTGGGAATTGAAGTCCGCTCCTCTTAAAGGTACAGAAGTGAGGAAACATTCACCCCAAAGGACTCACACGCCTGGATTTGTAGCACCATCAGCCCCTCCTGAAGGATGGAAGTCTAATCCCAGGCCGGCTGGGGAGGATAGGAATTGTAGTCCAGCCGTACGGCAACGGAGGCCAACTCTGATCTCCAACCTTGCGGGAGGCATTCAGTAGGCAAATGTGGGCCTTCCGTGGTCCAGATTCTAGCTGGTGCGGCTGCCAGGGAGGGAAGCCTTGGCTTTGGGGCACTTGGCCCGTCAATCTTGCGTCTGGTCACGACGCCAAGTCCAGTCAAAGGGCCGCAGCAGGTAATTTGCTTCTTCGGACTTGGCAGCGATCAAAGCTCTTTCTTCTGGACCACCAAATCCATAAGCCTTTCTGAATGCTTTTTGCTGGGTTTAAAGCATTGGCTGGATTCTCTCCATCGCTCGCCTCCCTCTCCCTCTTGTCTCCTCTCCTCTGTTTTCCCCTCTCTTTTCCTCTCACTCCCTCTCTTCTCTCCCTCTCCTTTCTTCCTCTTTCCCTCTGTCTCCCTCTCCCTTTCTCGCTCTCTGTCGCTCTCTTTCCCTGTTTCTCCCTCCCTTTTTCCCTCTCCTCTCCCTTTCTCTCCCTCTCCTTTCTCTCTCACTCTATCTTTCCCTCTTTTTATTCTCCTCTCTTTCCCTGTCTTTCTCTCTGTCTCTCCCTCCCTTTTCCCTCTCCCTCATTCTCTCTCTCTCCTTCTCCCTTTCTCCCTCTGTCTCCCCCTCTCTTTTGTCTCCCTCTGTCTCTCCTTCTCTTTTCTGCTCTCCCTCTCTTCTTGCCCCCCTTTCTCTCCCTCTCTTTCCCTCTGTCTCCCTCTCCCTTTCTCGCTCTCTGTCTCTCTCTTTCCCTGTTTCTCCTTCCTTTTTCCCTCTCCTCTCCCTTTCTCCCTCTATATCTTTCCCTCTTTTTCTCCCTCTCCTCGCTTTCCCTCTGTCTCTCCCTCCCTTTTCCCTCTCCCTCATTCTCTCTCTCTTTCTCCTTTCTCCCTCTGTCTCCCCCTCTCTTCCTGTCTCCCTCTGTCTCTCCTTCTCTTTTCTGCTCTCTCTCTCTTCTTGCCCCCTTCTCTCCCTCTCCCTTTCTCCTCTCTTTCCCTCTGTCTCCCTCTCCCTTTCTCGTTCTCTGTCTCTCTCTTTCCGTTTCTCCCTTCCTTTTTCCCTCTCCTCCTTTCTCCCTCTCTATATCTTTCCCTCTTTTTCTCTCTCTCCTCTTTCCCTCTGTCTCTCCCTCCCTTTTCCCTCTCCCACATTCTCTCTCTTCTCCTCTCCCTTTCTCTCTCTCTCTCTTTCTCCTCTCTTTCTCCCTCTGTCTCCCTCTCTCTCTTCCTCTGTCTCCTCTCTCCTCTGTCTCTCCCTCCCTTTTCCACTCTCCCTCTCTTCTCTCTCCACCCTTTCCCTCTCCCTTTCTCTCTCTCCCCCTCTCTTTCCCTCTGTCTCCCCCTCCCTTTCCTTTCTCGCTCTCCCTTTCTCCCTCTTTTTCCCTCTGTCTCTGTTTCCCCCTCTCCCTTTCTCGCTCTCTTGTTCTCTTTCCCTGTTTCTCCCTCACTTTTCCCCCTCTCTCTCCCCCTTTCCCTTTCTCTCTATCTCTATCTCTTCCCTCTTTTTCTCCCTCTCCTCTCTTTCCCTGTCTCCCCTCTCCCTCTCTCCTCTCTTTCCCTCTGTCTTTCCCTCCCTTTTTCCCCCTCCTCATTCTCTCTCTTTCTCCCTTTCTCCCTTTCTCTATCCCTCTCCCTCTCCTTCTCCTTCTCCCTCTGTCTCCCCCTCCCTTTTCCCCTCCCTCTATCATCTCTCTCCCTCTTCCTTTCTCCTCTCCTCCCTCTCAGAAGCTGGGACAAGGAACGGGAGCTCACCCCGTTACGCGGCGCTAGGGATTCGAACCGCTGAACTGCCGACCTTTCGATCGACAAGCTCAGCATCTTAGCCACTGAGCCACCACGTACCTAACCCTAATTATTTTACCTGCATTTTTCATGGTTCCCAGCTTTCCTGAGAATTAGGGGTGTTGTAGCAGGCCAGGATTGGGAGGTCCGGTTCCAACTGATATCGAAATTAAGACATTCTTTGGCCTCAGTGAATACAACGTTCTTTCTTTCTACAGGACGCCCCTGCAGTGTTGACCTTCGCCATCGACAGTGTTGAGAAGAAAATCCTGATGTCCACCATGAAGGGGACGTGTTCTGAAGAACAGGTGAGGGTGACGGCCGATGGGTATGGCCGAATCTGGACTTCAACCCCCGTTTGTCTGGAGGGGGTTAGTAGTTGAGCGTTTCTTTTTCAACATCTGTTTTGTCTCCTGCAAATTTTTCATCAGCCTCGCTGGAGGTTAGCCCTGCGAGGTAGTCCAGTCAAGGACTGTATTAGTTCATTTTATTAGGTGTATTAATTATTATTATATTAATTAATTATTAGGTGTATGTAGGTTCATTGTATTAGGTGTATTAGTTCAGGTGCTGTTTGCAGAAACTCGAAAATCTAGAAGTACAGGTAAAGCTCCACTTTACAACAGTTCAGTTGCTGGCAGAGGCTCCGTGGGCCGGTTCCTTCGCTGTGTCTAGGGCAGCCCTGTGGGCCAGATCTAAGCACTCTACAGGCCGGATCTGGGCCCTGAGTTTGACACCCCTGGCCTAGCCAAACGAAGCCTTCAGCACAAGCCTGGACCCCCTAAAAATCATCCTCCACCGTCACGGAGGCCATTTTGACCTCAACCTATTCTCCAAAGTCCCTGAAGGCAGGACAAGAAGCAGGGTGGATTGGATTTAAATCGAGTCGATTTAAATCATGATTTAAATCATGATTTAAATCACTAGTAAAAAGGCTTGATTTAAATCAACTCGATTTAAATCATAATTTTTTAAAGAGCAACTGTCATCTCTGCTACTCTTTTGACCCACTGTTGACTCACCAATAGTCCCAGTGTTGCAGAATAGACAGCCTCGTGCTACATAACTAAGCTCCATTTCATGCTGAATAAACTAAATTGTTTATGTATCTTAAATAGAAAACTATCTTACGATAGATTTTTACCCCAAAAGTTTTTTATTAAAATAAATTCGATAAAAATCAAAAAAATCCGATATTATTTAAATCAAAAAATCCGATTTAAATCAAAAAAATCCGATTTTTTTGATTTTTAAAAAAAAATCATTGATTTTTATCCACCCTGACAAGAAGCAACGGATAGAAACTAATCCAGGAGAGAAGCAAGTAGGTGCCCCCACAGAGAAGGCCCTCCCCCTGGGGGTCACCAGCCTACATTGTCTGGCTGATGGCACCCCGAGGAGGCCCTCTCTGTGGGAGCGCACGGGTCGATGGGAGGTCGTTGGTAGCAGCAGGCGGTCTCGAAGATAGCTAGGCCGCAGAGGGTTGGACTAGAAGACCTCCGAGATCCCTTCAAACTCAGTTATTCTGTTCTGGGGTTCTGGTGGTGGTGTTGTTTTTTTGTACCCTTGTGGCTACACATCGACCAAAGGCCATTAGCATTCCACGCGAGGCGCGCCGAGTCATTTCTCATTACCGTCTCGGCAAATGGCCCCGAACACCGAGCCCATCCTCCTCCGAAGGGACAATTAGGAACGTTAATGCGCTATTGAACGGCGCAGGTGGCCAGGCGCCATTAATTAGATCCAGTGTCAGGGTGGAGATGGCTGCGTTTTCATTTCGGGCTGAATTGTAATAAATCGGGGCTCTTGAAAAAACAGAATTATTGGCCAGCAAGAAGAACATCAAATCAGGTTCCTCTTGGGCTGAGGTTGGCCTGTTCCTTCTCCCAGAATTCCCCAGCCAGCAGTAGAGTCCCCATTCCCCCCTTCCGAATTGCTTATAGTTTTCAGCAAAAAAAAAATAATGCCCGGAAACTCGCTTAATGACAGCTGTGCTCACTTAACAACCACTGCATTTGCGTGATGACGACATAAAATTGAGCTTTTTTTTTTTAATAATTTTTTTTTTATTTTTAAAACACACAAACCAACATACAATGCATCTTTTCTGAATCATACAGGTTTACAAATTTGTGTTCATCTTTGACGCAGTTTTATACATTCATATTTTTTTTACCATAATATTTCTTCTTTCTAAGTTTAATAAAGACATAAAATTGAGCTTGATCACGCGGTGTGACCCACTTAATGACTGCCGTAGACTTACGGCCATAATTCCCGGCTCAATTCTGGTCGTAAATCGAGGACCCGTTGTAGTTTTTCTCGTGAAAGTGTTGTTTTCTTTTTTTTTTGTGCCTATCAGCTGGAAGATTTCCCTGCTGTCAATGAATGAATGTCAAATTCTGCAGCTCTTTGATTTTTTTTTATTTTAAAAAAAATTGTTTTCAGGCTTGACGTGAGCCCTGCTATAATGTTTCCTCTCCCCCTCCACCCCACCCCATTTAGCAGAAACGCACCTTTGGGGGTCTTTTGCCAGCATTGTCTCCACCTCTTTAAGCATTCATCGCAACCTCCAGCGCCTCTGGCTAAAATCGGCACTTAGGTGACGGAGAGCGGAGGGGGCACAACTACGCGTCCATTTTAATCAGGCCAGGCTCCGCGGAAGCCTGACAAACATCGGCCTGCGTCTGAGATCTGGCCTCGGTTTTACATTTACGTCCCCCATTTTCCCCATCCCCTCTGAAGCCTGGGGAGGACGAAAAATGGGCCTCCCAGAAGTTCTGGAAGTCTGGAAATGGGCCCGTTTCCAGCCTTTGGAGGGGCCTACAGATTCCAGGGTAGGCTGTTTTCTCCCTCACGGAGGCTTGAGGAAAGCATTCGTGCAAATTGCAAATTGCAAAGCTATTTGAAATGGGATTTCCTTCCATGGCTGCCTGGTGTTGCAGACAATCACGCCAAAGCCCTTGGGCCGGGAGTGCGGGGGGGGGATGGGGACGAGGGGGGGGAACCGGTGGCTGGACACGGTGGATTGCTTTTCACAGCACATTTAATTTGGCTTCTGCAATTGCCCATTATCTGGAAGGCACAAAAATATGTGCTTTTGTCACAGCTTCCGTTCCCAAGCGGAACGGAATTTTTGCTACCGGTTCTCCGAACCACCTGCTGCCATCGCTACCGGATTGGGCGATCCGGTCCGAACCGGGAGCATTTCACCCCTTGGTGCAGCATGGTGCAAGGTTTTTGCTGCTTTATCGAACCTTTGCTTGGAGGAAAGTCATTGCCCAAATCGTGGGGATATTAGATTAGGTGGTTCTTGATTTAGGAGCCACAATTGAGTCTGGAACATGTTTTGCTAAGCAATGTAGTCGATTTTATGATCTTTTTATGCTCTTTTTTTTTTTTTTAAACTGGGATCATTAACTGAATCGTACAGTCGTTAAGCAGATCACACGGTTGTTAAGCAAATCCAGCTTTGTCCCCCACTGACTTTGCTGGTCGGAAGCCAGCTGGGAAGGTTTTGAATGCGGGATTGTGGTCTCACCCACCAATGTGCTGGGCCCATTGCATCGTGTTTATTACACAATTAAGGGTATTGTGTGAATTGACTCCACTGTGATTGGGAAGCTGCGGGTTGAGGTTTCAGTATTTTCGTGGGACTCTGGTTCCGCAAACTCTGGTTTGGTGATCTCGCGGCAATGCACGGACATTGGCTGCCCTCGAGTGTCAAAATGCTCTCTTTGTGTTCCCAAGGCAAAGATATAATCTTGGTGCTCTCCGAGCTTGATTGTTTTCTTGCAGAAGTTTCTCAACCAAAGTAGGTAACATCATCAGTGCTAGAAGGGAATGGGTTTTGCGGCGAGGAGGAGGAGGAGGTGGAGGAAGGAAGCAGGAGGAGGACTGAGGGATTCTTGGTGTTCTCTGAACTTGGTAATTTTCTTCCAGACATTTCATGACCAAAGTAGGTTACATCATCAGCTCTAGAAGGAGGGGGGGGTTTTATTAACAGAGAGTAAACACTACTTCCTTCTAGTACTGACGATGTTACCTAGTTGGGTCATGAAATGTCTGAAAAGCACACTTAAAGAATTTAAATCCCGAGCTACAAATATTCTCCTCTGTTGGCAAAAGGGGTATTACAACTCATCCAGGGGTGAAATATTCCCGGTTCAGACCGGATCGGGCGATCCGGTAACGATTGTGGCAGGTAGTTCGGAGAACCGGTAGCGATGGCGGTGCAAGGCTCCGCCCACCCACCTGGGTGTCGTTACTTCCTGGTTTTAACCAGGAAGAAATGTGTTTTTTACCCTCTGTGCGTGCGCAGAGTGTCTCTTCCGAACCGGTAAGGAAGGTAAGTAGATTTCACCCCTCAACTCATCCCTACTTGCCAGATTTGATCCAGTAAGAAAAACATCGGAAAAAGAGACACGGTGGAGACACACAGGTTTTCTTCCATTCTGGTTTTGCGCAGAACCGTAATTTCCGGAATTCATGTGGATAGTTTCAAACCCATCTTCGGAGATGTTAAAAACCACATCGGCCTCGACAAGACAAAGAGGATGGGATAGGAAAGAAAAAAAATTCTGCGCTTGGGAAGATGTTTTCTTCCAGAGATTTTTCAATTATTATTTCGGTTTGGCCAAGACCGAGTAGGACCGATTGGCGAGGAGAATTCTCCGTTTACCCGCGATGGTTCCCGCATCACCGCACCTGTTTGGCGCGTGCACCCGAGTAGATTGATGGCCCGTTGAATTGAGCAGGAGGGCTGAACTGATTCCTTATTTGTAGCCGCTTGTCAGCCTTCCCCGCCGGCTGCGGACTCACGCACTCCGGCCACGCCGTGTGCCGCTGGTAATTGAGCTGAAAAGGCGTAAGCGAGCTAGACAGTTTTTGACAGCTCCACGTTGGCTGACATGGAGGAAGAGGAGGAGGAGGAGGAGGATGGGGGTGGCACGGAGAACTGGATTGCTAGTTCCCTCCATACATGGGGTGGAGGTGGGAGTGGATGGCTTCCTTTGCATATAAATTGACTAATTAAAACACAGCCTGGCGAGTAGACCAGATAAGAAAATTGGAAAAGATGAGCTAATTGTCCTTTATGGTCAGGCTGCATTAACGGAACTTGCAAGCCTGAAAGTACCAATCTCCCACAAGTCTCTTTTTATCATCACCATCATCATCATCTTTTAACGACCCCATAAATCATTGCGGGGTAGAGACTGGGCAACTGAGTGAAGCTAGCAGAGTGTTTTTTTAATGGCCGGATGCCTTTCCTGTCACCAATGCGGAGTTTTTGTTCAGCAGAGATTTTCTCATGGTGCCGAGAAAGAGAGAAATATCTGCCTCTACCTAGGATCGAACTCACAGCCTCCTGATTGTGAGGCGACTGCACCACCTCTAGGCCACTGCACCACTCTTCTTTTTATCACTTGATTAGGAAAGGGAAATCTTTTCTGAGTTTTATTTTTCCTCTGTCTGTTATGCAGCTGAGGGCTTCTGGCTCCTTTATCTTACCGTATGCGAGGCCACATCTGTCTGTTTCCCGAGGCCGTTCTTGCATACAGGTAGTCCTTGACTTGCAACAGTTCGTTTAGCGACCGTTCGAAGACCGCGGCCCTGAAAAAAGCGACTTGTGCTCATTTTTCACCAGACTGTTGCAGTCTCTCCGTGGTCATGTGATAAAAAATCAGATGGTTTGTGACCGACTCATAGGGTCAGGTGATCTGAACTTCGATCACGTGACCGTGGGAGCAGCTGCAATGGTCGTTAAGTGTGAAAAACAGTCGTAAGTCCCTTTTTCCAAGACGGCTGAAACTTTGAACGGTTGTAGGGCAAGGACTATCTCTTTAATTGAAGACTGTGCCATGGACGTAATTGAGACCTGGGACGGTGGTCCTATCAGGGAGAGGCAGTGAGCATGGCCTGTGCTGCCCCCACCCCAAATCTGTTTGGAAGGGGTCTTTTCCTTCCCTCTTTCCTGCTTTTAACCATCTCCCCTTCCCTTGATCTCTGCAGCTTCAGCAATGCATCGCCACCGCGCAGCGAGCAGCTGAAACCATCTTCCGCTTCTACCGAGATGCTGCATGCAGGAAGTACTCGAAGTGGTAACTGCTCCCCCCACCATCACCAGTGCACTGGGACATTCTTAAAGAAGAGGGGCTAACGCACCCAAAACCTTTCCAGCAGCAGACTCCACTTTCCAGATGTGCGTGGACTGCTGTTAACTCAGGTTGGGGAAGCAGCTGGCAGCTGGGACGCCAACAAGCTAGGAATGCTGGCCAACACAGACAAACCTCAGCATCCAGGATTTCCAAAACGCATGTTAAACCTCCCCTTCCTGTCTCCAGAAAATGTTTCCAGATCCAGTTCGATTCTTGCTCGATTTTATCTACATTTTTTTTTCCACCCAACTGATTCGGGCCATCCTGTTCTCTTCTTCTCTATTTCTCTTTTCTCCTTGTCTCCTGCCTGAAATTATCAGGCTGGGTTTTGGCAAAGCCAGCCACACATCGTCATCTTCCCTGCCATGACCAAGAAGAAGCCAAGGAAAAATTCATCCTGGTTTGCTTAAAGGAAGAATTTATCCTGGTTTGCTTAAAGGAGACTTCATCCTGGTTTGCTTAAAGGAAAAATTTATCAAGGTTTGCTTAAAGGAAGAATTTATCCTGGTTTGCTTAAAGGAAAAATTTATCAAGGTTTGCTTAAAGGAAGAATTTATCCTGGTTTGCTTAAAGGAAAAATTTATCAAGGTTTGCTTAAAGGAAGAATTTATCCTGGTTTGCTTAAAGGAAGAATTTATTCCTGGTTTGCTTAAAGGAAGACTTCATCCTGGTTTGCTTAAAGGAAGAATTTATCAAAGTTTCCTTAATTTATCCTGGTTTGCTTAAAGGAAGAATTCATCCTCGTTTGCTTAATGCTCGCCATTTTTTTTTTTTTTATCTCTTGCATGTCAGTTATTAGTCTAGCTCATACATCACCCGAAACTACCAATTTTGATTGGCCGGTTTGATGGCAGGGAGTTGGACTAGAAGACCTCCAAAGGTCCCTTCCTTTATTCTGTTATTCTATTCCGCTTGGTTGGAGAAGCAGCATGCTGGGCCAAGGTTCATCAGCCTTGGATGGATCACCTGGAAAGGGTCAGTTTCTGTGCAAAAAAGTCATCTTGCTCGCACCCCTTTTCGAGACGTAAATCTCCGAGCCATTTTTTTTTTAAAAAATAATAAATTTTGGGGCTATTGAAAATGGGAGAAACAGATAACAGGACTTCAAGAATGACCTGTTAAGTTTTGTTTCTCTCTTTCTCTTCACCCCCAATTCCAATTTTTTAAAAAAAGCTTTTCCTAATCGGTAGAGGGAGCTGTAACACCAGCAGAAGAATTTCAGGCCTCCCTCTATTAATGAAGGAAAAAAAAAACTGCCGTTGATTGAGGACTCTGGACTTTTGCTGCCTCTGTAAAGAAATGAATGTCACAAATAAAATAGCAAAGAGGAAATCTCAGCTCAGCCCTGTTGTATTTTTTGGAGTGAAACTTTGTTCTCTTGGAAAGATTTTGCAGACCACGGCAGATCGACGGTGGGTGAGATCAAGTGATGGTGGTGGTGCACATTTTATACACATGACGACACATTAAAAAAAGGTGGGGGGGCAGGGCGTCCGTCACATGTCGGGTCTGCCTTCTTGACATTTTTTGAACCCCTCTCCGCAGAGACCCTCACGCGCCAAAGAGGAACTGCAGCATCCCCCCCAACATACAAATAAATCGGAAATCTCTTCGGACCGCTCGTTTGCTATAGTCTGTTAAATCCATATCCCCGAAGCAGGGGTGAAAATCTCCTGGTTCGGACCGGATCACCCGATCCGGTAGCGATGGCGGTGGGTGGTTAGGAGAACCGGTAGCAAAAATCCCTGTGCCCCACCACCATGCTCAGCTGAGTCGCACGATCATCAGAGGCTTTTTTTTTTCTTTTAAAAAGCATCTGTTCTATTCTATTCTATTCCACTCTAATTCTTCATTCTATTCTATTCTATTCTATTCTATTCTATTCTATTCTATTCTATTCTATTCTATTCTATTTTAATCTATTCCATTCTGTTCCACTCCTATTCTATTCTATTCTATTCTATTCTATTCTATTCTATTCTATTCCATTCCATTCCATTCCATTCCATTCCATTCCGTTCTATTCCATTCCATTCCGTTCTGTTCCACTCTTATTCTATTCTATTCTATTCTATTCTATTCTATTCTATTCTATTCTATTCTATTCTATTCTATTCTATTCTATTCTATTCTATTTTAATCTATTCCATTCTGTTCCACTTCTATTCTATTCTATTCTATTCTATTCTATTCTATTCTATTCTATTCTATTTTAATCTATTCCATTCTGTTCCACTCCTATCCTATCCTATTCTATTCTATTCTATTCTATTCTATTCTATTCTATTCTATTCTATTCTATTCTATTCTATTCCATTCCATTCCATTCCGTTCCATTCCGTTCCATTCTGTTCCACTCTTATTCTATTCTATTCTATTCTATTCTATTCTATTCTATTCTATTCTATTCTATTCTATTCTATTCTATTCTATTCTATTCTAAAGCGGCTGAGGTTGGGAAACGTTGCCCTAAGCTGTGAGCAGAACATAATTGTGATGGGATGTGATGCATGAATTCCGACACTGATTGTGTTTATCCTTCAGGGTTTATTTAAGGATCTATCAGCAACCGGTTCCCACGAGAGCTTTCTTCATTTTACCTTGTTTTTCTCTGGCTGACCACCTTATGCAAATCCACCTTGTTTGGTTGCTGCAGAGTTCTGTGCAATGGCCAAATGCCTGAAATTAGGATAATTCAGTACAGGGAATCCTCGACATACGACGCCAATCGAGTCCAAATTTTCTGTTCTTCAGCGAGACATTTCTTAAGTGAGCTTTGCCCTCATTTTACGACTTTTCTCGCCACGCTTGTGAAGGCGAACCCGGCTTGCCCTGTAACTTGTCAAAAGGTCGCAAAATGGGGATCGCAACCGTCATAAATACGAGTCGGTCGCCAATGTTGATCCTGTGATGTGGTCGTAAGTGTGAAAAACAGCCATGTGTTACTTTTTCCAGTGCCGTTGTAACTTCGAAGGTCACTAAACAAATTGTTGTAAGTCGAGGATTACAGAAAAAAAAGGCAAAATAAATTCAGGACTAATAGCCCAAGGATGAGAAGCTTGATTTCTTTCTCATCTCATGTGTTTGGTATCCACGACAGTCCCACAAAAAAGGTACGAGCCACGGTGGCGCAGTGGTTAGAGTGCGGTACTGCAGGCTACTTCTGCTGACTGCCGACTGCCTGCATTTTGGCAGTTCAAATCTCACCGGGCTCAAAGTTGACTTAGCCTTCCCTCCTTCCGAGGTGGGTCAAATTAGGACGCAGATTGTTGGGGGGCAATAGGCTGACTCTCTAAACCGCTTAGACTGTAAAAGCACTATGAAGCGGTATATAAGTCTTAAGTGCTATTGCAGTTTTTTACTGCAGAAAAAACAATTCCTACCAACCTGCCTTCCATGGAAGACCTGTATACTGCACGAGTCAAAAAAAGGGCTGTGAAAATATTTACAGACCCCTCGCATCTTGGACATAAACTGTTTTGACTCCTACCCTCAAAACGACGCTATGGAGCACTGCACACCAGAACAACTAGACACAAGGACAGTTTTTTCCTGAACGCCATCACTCTGCTAAACAAATAATTCCCTCAACACTGTCAAACTATTCACTAAGTCTGCATTACTATTAATCTTCTCATCGTTCCCACCACCCATCTCCTTCCACTTATGACTGTGTGACTAACTTTGTTGCTGGTATCTTTACGATTTATATCGATATTGATTGTTTCCTGATTGCTTATTTGTACCCTATGACTATCATTAAGTGTTGTACCTTAGGATTCTTGATGAATGTATCTTTTCTTTTATGTATACTGAGAGCCATATGCACCAAGACTTGGCCAATAAAGAATTCTATTCTATCCTATCCTATTCTATTCTGTTCTATTCTATTCTATAAGCCCCTTTTTCCCCCCAATGCCATGGTAACTTTGGACGGTCGCTAAATGAACGGTTGTAAGTCGAGGACTACCTGGATGTCAACATGAAACCTGCAAACACAACCTTCATTGGTTGCCGAGTTTGGAATCTGCTTTGTGGCTTTGATCCGGCTGTTGCAATTCACCGACAGAAGATTTTTTCCTCCAGCTTTCCCTCTCCCCCCCCCTCCTCTCTTTCTCCCTCCAGGAAGACTCACAACCTCTCTTTGTCACCTTGATGACAAAACCGTGAGTTGTGATGGAGTGTCTGGAATCTCTGTACCGTATTTGGCTCATTATTATTCTCTGGAACTTTCCAGCTTGTGTGTGTTTTGTTTTTTTTTTAATTTGGCATTTTTGGCAAGCAGGGCGTGAAGAGCGTGGGGGCCGGTTGCCAACCAGCAATCCGCTTTGCAATCATGGCCTTGGCACGCGGCAACGTCTGGGGTAGGGGCAGCTAGAAAGCAATTGTGATCTCCCAAAGGACTCCCACCCACCCACCCCTCTGGCGCCTTCCCCAAGAATTAAATCCGATATTTCAGCCCCCCCCCCCCCCCCCCAATCGCTGCTAGAGGTTTGGGGAGAGCTAAAATGCCTCCTTCCTGAATTCCAGGACTGCGGATTTTAGAAAAGAAGAATATTTTCCTCCTTCCAGGAAGGGGGAGGGATGTTTTCTTAATAATTAGCTGAATGCAGCATTTTAGCTTTTTAATTATTCCCTCCCCACCCCTTTATCACCACCTACCCACCCCGCAATAAAGTTGCAAGAGCCTTCATTGGACGGTAGAAAGATTGGACCTCTCTGCATTCCTTCTAAGAGCCGTTTTGGGAAGTCCTTGCCCCAAAACCGAGCATCCTCGACCTTAAAAGAGAAGCCTGGATTTTGATTGGCCTTTGATTTTTCTCAAAAAAAAAATACAGGTAGTCCTCGACTTACGACCGCGAGGGAGCCCAGCATTTCTGTCGTTAGGCGAGACATTTTGTTCGGGGAGGTTTGTCCCATGTTTACGACCCTGTCGTTAAGTGAATTGCTCCCGTTAAGTTAGTCACACCGGACGTGAAGGGAATCCGTGAATGCCCCGTTGACTTTGCTCACCGGAAGGTCGTGAAAGGGAATCGCGTGACCTTGGGAACATTGCGACGGTCGTAAGTGCGAACCGGTTGCCGAGCGTCTGAATTTTGATTCATGTAACCGTGGGGAGGCGGCGCTTTTCGTAAGTGTGAAAAAAGAGTTATTTTTTCCTGTGATGTCATTACTTCGAATGGTCACTAAGCGGACGGTTGTAAGTCAAGGACTGCCAGTTGCGGCTCGGGCAAGCGATGATGGCTTGTTAAAGATGACACTACCCGCCACAAATCATCAAACCCAAATCCTTAAGAGGAAAGTCTTGCTCAAAACAACTTGGCTTCCAGAAATTGTGAATGCTCCAACACTGGAAGTTTTAAAGAAGAGATTGGATAACCATTTTGTCTGAAGCGGTGTAGGGTTTCCTGCAGTGGTGAAATCCAGATTTTTTTACTACCGGTTCTGTGGGCGTGGCTTGGTGGGTGTGGCAGGGGAAGGATACTGCAAAATCTCCATTTCCCACCCCACTCAGGGGAAGGATATTGTAAAATCCCCATTCCCTCCCGACTCCTGGGGGAAGGATACTGCAAAATCTCCATTCTCACTCCAGGGGAAGGATACTGCAAAATCTCCATCCCCACCCCACTCCAGGGGAAGGATATTGTAAAAATCCCCATTCCCTCCCGACTCCTGGGGGAAGGATACTACAAAATCTCCATTCTCACTCCAGGGGAAGGATACTGCAAAATCTCCATTCCTTCCCCACTCCAGGAGAAGGATACTGCAAAATCTCCATTCCTTCCCCACTCCAGGGGAAGGATACTGCAAAATCTCCATTCCCACCCCACTCTGGGGCCAGCCAGAGGTTGTATTTGCTGGTTCTCCGAACTGCTCAAAATTTCCGCTACCGGTTCTCCAGAACCTGCTGGATTTCACCCCTGGTTTCCTGCCTAAGCAGGGGGTTGGACTAGAAGACCTCCAAGGTCCCTTCCCACTCTTGTTATTCTACCCTATTCCAAAAAGGGAGAATTCGGCTGTCGTGCGACAGATACGCCTGCATTAAAAGCGTAGAATATCGTCTGCAACCGTGTCGGATTGCAGCAGCTTCTGGTTAAGCATATCATTTCTCATTTGCCTTAAAACTGACAGCTCCTCACCTCCGGGGCAGGCTTGCAAGAGCTCCCTGGCAAGCTTGTTTATCTCTCTTTCCCCATCGTTCCCCCCTCCCTCCCCACCTCTGTTTGCTTCCCAGAGTCCTGAACATCTTGTCACCTTCATAGCTGGCCAGGGGAGGCGAGCCATCCTTTGCTTTTAATTAATGAGTCTCATGGCACGGATGAAATTAGAGCTGTTTTTCCTGCGCTGAAGCCAGCTTTGCCCTCGTTGCAAAGTTTCTTTCACAAGGACAAGTCGGGTTTCTCAACCTTGGAACTTTTTCAGAGGGGTGGGCTTCAACTCCCAGAATTCCCCAGCCAGCGTGTTTTAAGATGCATAAATTTCAACTCCCAGAATTCCTCAGCCAGCGTGTTTTAAGATGCATAGACTTCAATTCCCAGAATTCCCCAGTCTGCATGTTTAAAATGGGTGGACCTCAACTCCCAGAATTCCCCAGCCAGCATGTTTTAAGATCTATGGACTGCGACTCCAACTCCAGAATTCCCAACCAGCATGCTTTAAGCTGCATGGACTTCAATTCCCAGAATTCCCCAGCCAGCATGTTTGAAGATCTATGGACTGAAACTCCCAGAATTCCCAACCAGCATGCTTTAAGCTGCATGGACTTCAATTCCCAGAATTCCCCAGCCAGCATGTTTGAAGATCTATGGACTGAAACTCCCAGAATTTCCCAACCAGCATGCTTTAAGCTGCATGGACTTCAATTCCCAGAATTCCCCAGCCAGCATGTTTGAAGATCTATGGACTGAAACTCCCAGAATTCCCAACCAGGCATGCTTTAAGCTGCATGGACTTCAATTCCCAGAATTCCCCAGCCAACGTGTTTTAAGATGGGTGGACTTCAACTCCCAGAATTCCCCAGCCAGCATGTTTTAAGATCTATGGACTGCGACTCCAACTCCAGAATTTCCCAACCAGCATGCTTTAAGCTGCATGGACTACAATTCCCAGAATTCCCCAGCCAGCATGTTTGAAGATCTATGGACTGAAACTCCCAGAATTCCCCAACCAGCATGGTTTAAGCTGCGTGGGCTTCAGCTCCCAGCATGGCATCTGTGTGGAATTGTGGGAGTTGAAATCCATGCATTTTACAGGTGCCAGGGGTGCCAGAAACACTTCTTACAGAGCCTCACGTGTGCGTGTGCCCAGCCACTTGTTCCTTTTATCCTGCACGCAATTAAAGGACGGGGTGACCTTGTTCCTTTTCATCCCCAAACAAAACCCAGATTTAGTTTGTGAGTCTTCCCGCCCTGCCATTTCACGAATGCATCATCTCATCCAGTCGCATTAAATCATTTCGCATCCAGTCTGGCCCATCGCCGCCGTGAACGCTGCCCGCTGCATCCTGACGCAGAGCAATAACAGAGATTTAAATGAACGAAACCTAAACTACGCGAGTCTGGAACAATCGGTCGCGGGTCTGCGGGCAACAACCTTGGCAAAAACCAGGCGGGCGAGTGGCAGCCTTCTTTCAAATACCATTTAAAGCAAGCAGTCCCCAACTTTCGGGGCACCAGGGACCAGTTCCGTGGAAAGCGGTTTTTCAGTGGACCGGAAGGGCCGTGGTTTCACGTGCTGCCTGCATCTCACGGATGGGGCTTCGCTTCTTTGCGCTGCCTGGTTTTTGGCATGCCGTGGCCCGCTGCCGGTCCCTGGCTCCGGAGTTGGAGACCCCTGATTTAAAGGCATCAACATTGATGAGCTGTGGCTCCCTTCTCACATTCAGACTATCTTACTCCGGTGTTTCTCAACATTGGTCACGTTTAACATGTTTAGACTTCAACTCCCAAAATTAAAAGTTGATGTTGTGGCCTGTTGGCTGCCAGCCCCCCAGCAGCCGAATCAGAGGAGGAGGAGGAGGAGGCATGGGAGACGGGGTCAGCATCAAGGCAACCTGAGAGCTCCGAGGAGGAAGAGGGAATGGAGCTGGCAGAGAGAGAGAGACAGAGGCTCAGCCTGGGCCGTCCGTCAGCCCTCAGATTGTTGTGGCTCCGTTGCCTAAGCCTGGGCTATCGACAGATGCAGACTCTGAGAGTGAGGGAGAGGAGTTGGCAAGGCCTCCCTCTCCAGGACCCTCCTCTCTAGCAATGCCTCCGGAGGACACCGAAGGCCAAGAGATAGGCTCAGAGCCAAGCATGTCCCCGCAGCTACAGGTGGACAGCGACGAAGGAGATAAGTGCTGGCTGGACCCTCGCCAGAGGCGCAGGGAGAAGCGTGCATAGCAGAGGGGAAGGTGTGCCAGAGATTAGCTGAGTCACTGGACCACACCCCACAGGGTATAAATGTGGGTGTGGTGTCCGGTTCAGTTTGTGACGAGCAAAAACTAGAAATACTCCATGATCTCTGCGTTACTGGACTTTGCCTGCTTTATCGGACTGCATTTGGATTAATCCTTGTATTGTTGAAAACTCTGCCTGTTTTATCGGAATGCTGGCAGTCTAATCTTTGTTTTGTGTGAGTAAAGTCTGAATCGGCAGCTAGCCACTGGGTTGCTGCCAGCTTTATTTTCAAAGAATTTTGTCGTGCGGCTTATTACCTCCGGGCCGTCTGTGGGGGTGCGTGAGTGGGACGGGGACAGAACACAGATGGAGAGTCAACAGCCCCCAGGTGGCTGATGAGGAAGAGGAGGAACAGCTGGGTCCAGTGCCTGACACGCAGATGCGAGACAACAGAGGAGAGGAGAGCAGTGGAAATCTATGAGCCGGTCCTTGGGACAGAAGAGCCACCGCTGCTAGCAAAACACCACCCTAGCTCTGGGGATAAAAGGCAGGGGGCAGAGATGAATAGATGTGGCAGACAACAATTCATCTCCCCTGCCGGACAGACTTGTTAGCCTGCGGTGAGAAACTTTTTGCCGGGGGCTGCTGGCGCTCCTAATAAAGGAATCATTGCTTCAGCTACAGAGGATTTGTCGTGTTTGGGGAACTGGATCAGAACAGCCGGCCTCCCCCTCTGAAGACCTGCCCCCCCAAAAGGTGACCTCTTGCTTTCTGTCCTTATACCCCCGTCTTTTCATCTGAGCAGTGACGGAAACGATTGTGCGTTCTAGAGAAAGCTGCTCGGGGACCCTGCATAAATATGTCATAAAGCAACCTTAATAATTCATAGCTGTTTTGGAGAAAAGCGAGAGAACAAGGAAGGAACGGAACGGAGGGAGGGAGGGAGGAAAGGAGACAGAAAGGGGGAAGAGATTTTGCTTTGTGGGTGTTGCTCGGCACAACGAGGACACTGAACTGGGGAAGTGGGGAGCAGGGCCTCGACCCTTTATTGAGAAGCCCTGATGATCAGACCATCACAGGCATGGCGGATTGAGTAGCTCTGTAGAAAAGGAGGCATGACCGAGGGGCACAGATAATTGGGGGCTTCGTAAGGGGGTCCGGACAAGCGAAACAAACATCTCTAAGCTGATGTCCTCCTCCAGATCAATGCTCAACCTGCTTCTTCAAAGTCCCTTGAGTTCTCCTTGGCTGGACAGTCCCTCCTCAAAGCTCCAAGGACTGGTTGATGCCTCTCAACTGGAGAGGTCCAAGGAAGTTGAACCTCAGCTCAACGGCTGCTCTTTTCCAAGTTTCTGCTAGCCTCCTCGGTCCGTTTTTCGGTTTCTTGCAAGCGAACCTGCCACCGTGTCCTCTCTGGTCCAAGAAATGGTCCATCTCAAGTCAACCCAGTTGGGTTCTTCACAAGACCAGGGTATGGGAATAAGTCTTCGTGTCGTAATAATGTCTGCATTCGGTCACCCCCTTCCCTTTCCTACTCCATGGGGAGGCAAGGAACAGGGTGACGGGTGGCTCATTGAGGGGGTGGGGAGAAAGGGTTAGGTGGGGGCCTTGTTAGAGAGATAGGCGATGAGTGCCACCACGGCGCCGATGTAGGTGCAAATGCCAAGGATGATGGACAAGACCGCCAGGGCAAACGTTTGACGGGAGGCGGTCCACGCTCTGGGATAATCGCCTATGGCTGAAGCTTTGTTGGTCTGCAAGGAGTAGGAAGGGGAGAGAGAAAGAAGAACGTCAAGTTAGTGTCCAGATGTTGAGTTCTCCAATAGAAGAGTTGAGTCCAGACGTTGAGTTCTCCAATAAAAGAGAATATTTGGATTGGTATTCATTTGTCAGAATATTTGTGGCTCAGGATTGAACCGAGAGGGTCCTTGTTGCTTTCGGAGCTTGGTGGCTTTCTTTGCAGACATTGCATGACCCAACTAGATAACCTCATCAGTGCTAGAAGGGAGTGAGGTTTGTTCTCTGTTTATAAACCCCGCTGCCTTCTAGCACTGATGAGGTTACCTAGTTGGGTCATGAAATGTCTGAAAGATAACCAAGCTGAATGAACACTAAGGACCTCCTGCTTCTCCTTCTGCTCCTCCTCCTACCTCCTTCTAGGACTGATGTTGATACCTAGTTTGGTAATAAAATGTCTGGAAAAAACCGCCAAACTTGGAGAGCATTAAGAACCCCACAGTTGTTGTCATCATCGTCATCCTCCTCTTCCTCCTCCTCCTCCTCCTCCTCCTCTCTGCAAACCCCAGTGCCTTCTAGCACTGATAATGTTACCTACTTGGGCCATGAAACGTCTGCAAGAAAACCACTAAGCTCAGAGAGCACCAAGGACCTGACAGTTGAGATGCCCATTTTGCATCTTCCCCTGGGCACTTTGGTCTAGTGGTGAAGGCACCAGGCTAGAAACCAGGAGACTGTGAGTTCTAGTACTGCTTTTAGCCATGAAAGCCAGCTGGGTGAACTTTAGCCAATCCCCTCTCTCTCTCTCAGCCCAATCCACCTCACAGGGGTGTTGTTCTGGGGAAAAGAGGAGGAGGACGGTGTGTCGGATATGTTTGACGCCTCGTGTTATTTGTAAAAAAGAAAGAAAAATGGGATGGAAATAAATGAAGAAATGATGAAAATATTTCTGCTGGAGCTTCGTGGAGATACGTGGCCTCCAGGTTTAGCTTTTTTTTTTTTATTATTATTGAAAAAGTTTTTCAAATACAAATTTTCCCCCCTTTTCCCCCCCCTCCTCCCTAACCCCCCCCTCACCCTCCCTTCCCCCTGTGGCTTCTCCAAAATAAAACCCAAATTCATAACAGATTATATAATACTTTACCATCCCTTTGCTCCACCCCCCATACGCTGACCCTTTCTTTCTAATAATATTATTATATCCCCCTTATACTATACATTTCAAAATAACATTCAACTGTAACATTATATAATAACTCCTAATTTAGCATAATAATATTATTATATCCCCCAGTTTAGCAATTTCTACTCATAATCTACCCTTTTCCAGGTTTAGCTTTGATTAGAAGGACCGATCTCTCCCATTTGGTCCCAGTCTGCCTGTCCTGTCCACCTCCCGAAGCTCCTCTGTCCTCTCTCTTCCTTCCTGGTCCTTAACACTCACCTTCTGCGACAGGTAGAAGGCAGCAATGCCTAGTGGCCAGAAGCAGCACAGCATGGAGAAAACCGCCAAACCCAGATAATCCTGAGGCTGCAACATGGAGAAGCTGTTTTCGCTCTCGGTGTCGCTGTCGCTCGAGGAGTCGTTCTGGAGAGGGGTGGGGAGGACACGGATTTTCAGTGAGGACCCCCACGTAACGATGACCTCGTGTAAATGCTGCGTGCCTCGTGCGATGATGTCAATAGCAATTTGGGTTGATGATGTCATCAGCCACCAAGTCACCCTTTGATGATGTCATCAGCCACCAAGTCACCCTTTGATGATGTCACCGGTCCCCCCAATTCACCCTTTGATGACATCATCAGCCCCAAGTCTCCCTTTGGTGATGTCATCAGCCCCCAAGTTATTCTTTGATGACATCATCATCCCGAAGTCATCCTTTGATGACATCAAGTCATCCTTTGACTATTCTCCAAAGCCCCTGAAGGCAGGACAAGAAGCAACGGATGGAAACGAATCAAGGAGAGATCCAACCTTGAACTGAGGAGAAATTTCCTGATGGTGAGAACAATTTAGAAGAGAAGAGAAGAGAAGAGAGGAGAGGAGAGGAGAGGAGAGGAGAGGAGAGGAGAGGAGAGGAAGGAGAGGAGGAGATAGAGAAAATAGAGAATAGAATAGAATAGAATAGAAATAGAATAGAATAGAATAGAATAGAATAGAATAGAATAGAATAGAATAGAATGGAGAAAATATAGAATAGAATAGAGAATACAGAGAATAGAATATAGAGAACAGGATTAGAATAGAATAGAATAGAATAGAATAGAATAGAATAGAATGGAGAAAATAGAGAATAGAATAGAGAATACAGAGAATAGAATATAGAGAACAGGATTAGAATAGAATAGAATAGAATAGAATAGAATAGAATAGAATAGAATAGAATAGAATAGAATGGAGAAAAATAGAGAATAGAATAGAGAATACAGAGAATAGAATATAGAGAACAGAATTAGAATAGAGTAGAGTAGAATAGAATAGAATAGAAAAACAAGAGTTGGAAGGGACCTTGGAGGTCTTCTAGTCCAACCCCCTGCTCAACCAGGAAACCTTGTACCATTTCAGACAAATGGTTGTGCAATCTCTTCTTAAAAACTTCCAGCGTTGGAGACTTCACAACTTCTGGAGGCAAGTTGTTCATTAATCAGTTCATCAACAGAAGAACTTGCCTCCAGATGTTGTGGATTTTTTTCATTCAACAACATAAATTTTGGGCTCAATTTCAGTCGTACATTGAGGACTACCTTTATTACTTTATACTATAAACTAATTTTTAAAAAAGACTGGGGGTGGGGGAAAGAAAAGAAATATTGCTGCAATATTCCCGTGAACCAGAGCCCCGTTTCTCCTCTCCTCCCCTTCTGGCCTGCCCCTCTTGTCGAGGGAGAGGGTTCAATGCCTCAGTTTCCCTTTTGCACAAAGAATCGAATAAGGGCACAAAACCCACTTAAGCAAAACGGCCCTCCCCTCTCCGAACTGGAAGCCAGATAACTCGAAAAGCTGAGCCAAAATACTTTTCACCAATGCTACTCCCTCGAACCAAAGTAGGTCAGCCTCGCAAAATATCACCGAGATAACAAAGCCGGCTGAATAAATGGCTTTTCATCAGAGCGATTCGGCATTCATAAAATTAAAATTAAAATTAGGACCCACCGAAACATCGGCCGTTTGCACAGGAAGGGGGGTTGCTCAGAAAACCTGTCAGATGACTGTATGCGCAAAAATGAAAGGAGGCTTTGATTCCTGCTATAGACGAATGGCTGCAGAAGTTGATGGGAGTTGGCTGAAAGGGCAAGATTGACTATGGCCATGGGAAGTTGGCCATGGAGAGTTGGCCATGGGAAGTTGGCCATGGGGAGTTGGCTATGGGGAGTTGGCCATGGGAAGTTGGCCTTGGAGAGTCGGCCATGGGAAGTTGGCCATGGAGAGTTGGCCATGGGAGTTGGCCGTGGGGAGTTGGCCATGGAGAGTTGGCCATGGGAAGTTGGCCATGGAGAGTTGGCCATGGGGAGTTGGCCATGGGAAGTTGGCCATGGAGAGTTGGCCATGGGGAGTTGGCCATGGAAGTTGGCCATTTAGAGTTGGCCATGGGAAGTTGGCCATGGAGAGTTGGCCATGGAGAGTTGGCCATGGGAAGTTGGCCATTTAGAGTTGGCCATGGGAAGTTGGCCATGGAGAGTTGGCCATGGGAAGTTGGCCATGGAGAGTTGGCCGTGGGGAGTTGGCGTGGGGAGTTGGCCATGGGGAGTTGGCCATGGTGGAGTTGCCCATGCTGAATTGTCATAGACCCGTCTCCCTCCCAGCTCCTACCTCCACCTCGGGCAGCTCCATGTCCCCCACCTCGTAGCAAACCGTGTGAATATCCGTCTCGAGGGCGATCTTGCGTGGTAGTTCGCCCGCTGCTTTGCCGTCCCCGAAGGCAGTTTCGATATAATCTTTCTTCCTCCAGTTTTGGGGGTTGCTGCATTTCCACAGTTCTGGGTAGAGCTTCGATTCGGGAAGGTTGGAGGAGGGGACGATGGTCCTGGACAGGCTGCGGGGATTCAGGAGCTGCTTGGGAAGAAGATCGGTGCCGGGGGAGAGCCAGGAGAGGTTGGATGGCATGCGGTGGGACAGCAATCCAGAGGGATCCTGGGGACTGGCCCAGCTGAGCATCCCTCCAGGGAGCAGGGTTTTGCTCGGGGGGTTTCCCAGGAGCGGATGTTGTAGTTCGTGGATATTCTCCATTGTGTGGGGGAAATTCTGGGTGCTTCTTGCTTAAGTGGTCCTCCTCGCCCTTCGGTTACCTGGAAAAGCATTTTTTTTTTATTATTTGATTTATATGCCGCCCTTCTCCGGAGACTCAGGGCGGCTTACAGTGCGTTAAGCAATAGCCTTCATTCTTTTGTATATTTATACAAAGTCAGCTTATTGCCCCCACAAACTGGATCCTCATTTAACCTACCTTAGAAAGGATGGAAGGCTGAGTCAACCTTGAGCCTGGCGAGATTCGAACCTGCAGAAATTGCAGGCAGCTGTGTTAATAACAGGGTGCATTAAACCACTGTACTACCAAGGCTCCTTTGAAAGAGACATCCGTTGCAAAGGGCCGACGTTCCCCAACCTGGCACCCTCTGGAAGCACCGGGACTACATCTCCCAGAATTCCTAGCCGGTACAGCTATAACTGACTTATTTCACTTATAGAAGGTGCTGGCCTAGAAACTAGGAGACAGGGAGTTCCAGTCCTGCTTTACTCGTGAAAGCCAGCTGGGTGACTTTGGGTCAATCACCAGACGACGGTGAGTTCTAGTTCTGTCTTGGGCATGAATGCCAGCTGGGTGACTTTCGGTCAATCACCAGGAGACAGTGAGTTCTAGTTCCATCTTGGGCATGAAAGTCCAAAGGGTGACTTTGGGGCAATCACCAGGAGACAGTAAGTTCTAGTTCGATCTTGGGCATGAAAGCCCAAAGGGTGACTGGGTCAATCACCAGGAGACGGTGAGTTCTAGTCCTGCCTTAGGCATGAAAGCCGGCTGGGTGACTTTCGATCAATCACCAGGAGATGGTGAGTTCTAGTTCCATTTTGGATATAAAAGCCAGCTAGTTAATTTTGGATGAAACACCAGTAAACGGTGCGTTCCACCTTAGCCATAAAAACCATCTGGGTGACTTTGGACTAGTCCCTCAGTCCAACTCACCTCAAAGGGAGAGTATTATCCATATTCATCCTCTTGATTTATAGCAGTAATTCTGCGAGTCGCAGTGTAGGAAGTTAGCACCCACCCCTCTCCTAGAAGAATGAAATATTCTAGGAAATATTTAAAAGGCAAAATATTACATTTCCCTGGATGAGAAATGGAGAAACATGTTTTTTGAGGCAGGAAGCAGACTCATTCTTAATAACCCCCACGCTCCTCAATAGCCCACAGCAGATGTCAGCACTTAAACGATAAAAAGATAGCTAGGTCTATTCATAAACAAATGCCCTCATCCAAGATTCAAAAAAGATAGGATTAGCCCTCTACCCATCTAGCAACAGAAGTCACCACATGGCACCTGGGGAGATTGCATCACCCAGCAAGGCTCAACCAAGCCTAGGACACAGACAACCTACAAAGTTACCTCTGCATGGGAGTCCGACACCCAATCAGAATACAAGCTCAAACTCAAAGTCCATCAGAGGGTATAAATCTCTCTCTTTCTCTCTCTCTCTCTCTCTCTCTCTCTCTCTCTCTCTCTCTCTCTCTCTCTCTCTCTCCCTCCCTCCCTCCTCCCTCCCTCCCTCTCTCTCTCTCTCCATGTGCTTTTTTTGCCCAGGACCTCAAAACCATGTGGCCCTGTCCACCATTAAACCATCTTTCCAAGTGGCCTCCATGTTTCCAGTGTCTTTCTCCCCGCTTGGAACTGAACCCAGATTTCTTCCAACAGCAGATATATATATATATATATATATATATATATATATATATATATATATATATATATATATATATATATATATAGGCCACCGGGCTCCGTTTGTTGCAACACGTCGTAGCCATCCATAAACAACACCGAGTCCCCTGAGTTTCGATTTTCTATTTTGCTATTTCAGAGGCAAGCTAAGCTGCTGCGAAGGCGAAAAGGGATCTAATCTCCATAAGAAAGAATTTTTTTTCCCCTTTCTCTCTCTCTCTTCTGCTTTGCAACTGATACACTCATCCCCCCCCCCCCAGGAGAGGAGATGATTCACTTCCCATTAAAGAAATCTCTTAACCCCCCCTTCCATCTACAGAGACCCCCCCCCTTTGATTGAACTCCCCCTGCCCAGCTTCTCCGTTACAAGGCCTATCAGATTCCCCCTCTTGTGGTTGGTCTTGTGAATCCTTAAAACCCTGCACCACAACTGACTCTACCGGAGAAAAGACCAGCCAGGATGGGAGATGCTGCTCGGAGATTATTGTCCAAGTGAGGACGTGGCAGTGAGTGTAAATGGGTTTGCGTGGGTGTGTAACAAGACCCCCTTGCAAACACGAAAGGCCCAGGAAAATCTCTCTTGCCTTTTGCACCCAAATCACGGACAGGAATTGCTGCTGGTGAGGGTTGGGGGAGCTGCTTTCCACCCACTTCCAGCTCCTCTTCTTCCCGGGAAGGAAAATGCAGCTTTGCTGATCGAAGAATTTGTGGGGAAACTAAGAAGTCTTTGAAGGTCCTGCCAGCAAAAATAAAAGCTTCTCCCACCTCCCCAATATTCTAGTGGGTTCAACTGGTGAATGCTTATATTGAGGAATGAATTTAGGGGACTGGAGGCTAAAACATATGAAGAACGGTTGCAGGAACTGGGTATGTCTAGTCTGATGAAAAGAAGGACCAGGGGAGACACGAGAGCAGTCTTCCGATATCTCAGGGGCTGCCCCAAAGAAGAGGGAGTCAAGCTATTCTCCAAAGCATCTGAGGCAGTGGTGGGTTTCAAATTTTTTTATTACCGATTCTGTGGGTGTGGCTTGGGGGGGGCGTGGCATGGGAAGGATACTGTAAAATCTCCATTCCCTCCCCAATCCAGGGGAAGGTTACTGCAAAATCTCCATTTTCCTCCCGATCAGAGGCAGAGAATAGATGGGGTAGGGGCAACAGTCAGAATTTTTACTACCGGTTCTCTGAATTACTCAAAATTTCCGCTACCGGTTCTCCAGAACTTGGTCAGAACCTGCTGAAACCCACCTCTGATTCTGAGGGCAGGACAAGAAGCAACGGGTGGAAATTAATCAAGGAGAGAAGCAACTTAGAACTAAGGAGAAATTTCCTGACAGTGAGGACAATTAACCAGTGGAACAACCTGCCTCCAGAAGTTGTGAATGCTCCAACACTGGATGCTTTTAAGAAGATGTTGGATAACCATTTTATCTGAAGTGGTGTAGGGTTTCCCTGCCTAGGCAGGGGGTTGGACTAGAAGACCTCCAAGGTCCCTTCCAACTCTTGTTATTTTGCTATTCTGACTTTTCCGCCTAATTCACCAAGGGAGAGGCTGGCATGTGTATTTGTGTGTGTGTGGTGTGCGTGTGTGCTGGCAGTACAGTATTTAATCATGCCTGCCTTGTGTTTGACTTGCACAGATGATGGTTTAATTGGAACTGACAAGTTGGGGGTGGGTGGAGATTGCGTCATTCCCTTTGCCTGCAGTGGTGGGAGCGATAGAGATGGACAGAACAACTTGTAGGGATGGGCTCTCCTTTAGCAAGCCATTATGGCTTGTAACTCAACCGTGCATGTAGGCAGTCAGGCCAGGATCTCATTAAGTCTCGATGTTCTTCAACCGAATTGCCCTTTTAAAAACAGCGCTTAAATTGCGGCATGTTTGAAGTGTGGAGTTATGAATTTTAGGGAAAGGAGGCCCCCATTTGCCTAAATTGTGATTTGAGGGCGAGGATCTAACCTCTGAGCCTGCGCAGAGTGTCTTGAGGGCTGACGAACTGCAGACGCTTATGCATCAGGGGTGAGTTCTACTTACCTTTACTACTGGTTCACAACAGTTATAACGTCCATTATAAACCGGTGTTTATAAATTATAAATCCATTATAAATCAGGTAAATCAGTGTTTCACAACCTCAGGAACTTTAAGATGGATGGACTTCAAACTCTCAGAATTCCCCAGCCAGCAATCTGGGAAAGGGTTCCCCTTTATATTTGTAGATGACCATGGTGGTATCATGGCTTCTTGAAAGCCAGTTTGGTCTAGTAGTTAAGGCACCAGACTAGGAAGCAGGAGACTGTGAGTTCTAGTCCCACATTAGGCATGAGAGCCGGATGGATAACTTTGGGCCAATCACCAGGAGACTCAGGAGGGCGTAAACCGGGCCTACCGGAAGTTCGGGAAGGCTGGAAACAGGCCTGTTTCTGGCCTCCAGAGGGCCTCTGGAGCCTGGGGATGCCGTTTTCGCCCTCGCGGAGGTTTGAGGAAAGCCTCCAGAGCCCAGGGAGGGCAAAAATGCCCCCGCCCGCCGTGGTGCAGGAGGCCGACTAGGCCACACCCACCATGGCCATGCCCACCCAGCAACCGGGCAGAGAACCCCTGCTAAAATTTTTGAAGCCCACCATGAAGGCCTTGGTAAAAATATTCCAGTGCTGTGATGTGTCTATATTTACAAAGTTTAGAGGTCAGGACAATAAGTAAAAGATGAAAGCTTATCAAAGAAGAATCCAACCTAGAATTAAGGAGAAATTTCCTGTCAGTAAGAACAATAATCAGTGGAAGGACTTGCCTTCAGAAGTTGTAGGTGCTCCATCATTGGAGTTTTCAAGAGAAGACTGGACAGCCATTTGTTCAGAATGGTGTAGCGTCTTCTGCCATGGGCATTTGGTTAGATTAGAAGATCTCCAAGGTTCCTTCCCACCCTATTATTCTATGTTCTGTGTTATAACCACATGGACACAACCATCATCTGTCTTTTTGGAAGACAACTTCAGCATGCAGCCGAAACACTAAATGTAATTCTTGGTTGAGAAATATTGCCTGTTCCTTAGATAGACAGAGGTGTCCATCTTAAATATCATGATGGTCCTGCAATTATAGATTCCCTCTCTCTCTCTTTGTCACCACGATGTAAAAAAGATGTTGAGATTTTGGAAACAGTCAAGAGAAGAAGAACAAAGATGATTAGGGGACTGGAGGCTAAAACATATAAAGAACAGTTGCTGGGTATGTCTAGTTTAATGAAAAGAGGGACTAGGGGTGACATGATAGCAGTCGTCCAATATCTCAGGGGCTGCCCCAAAGAAGAGGGAGTGAAGCTATTCTCCAAAGCACCTGAGGGTAGAACAAGAAGCAATGGGTGGAAACTAATCAAGGAGAGAAGCAACTTAGAACTAAGGAGAAATTTCTTGACAGTTAAAACAATTAATCAGTGGAACTACTTGCCTCCAGAAGTTGTGTGTGCTCCAACAGTGGAAGTTTTTAAGAAGATGTTGGATAACCATTTGTCTGAAATGGTATAGGGTTTTCTGCCTGAGCAGGGGGTTGGACTAGAAGACCTCCAAGGTCCCTCCCAACTCTGTTATTCAATATTCTATATGTATATCTCATATCATTGAATTGAATCTTTTCTTAGGTATGTTCGGTCAAGGACAAAGCATGATGTGGACATGAGGATCGGCATACACTCTGGATCTGTGCTGTGTGGGGTCCTGGGTCTGCGGAAGTGGCAATTTGATGTCTGGTCGTGGGATGTAGACATTGCGAACAAACTTGAGTCAGGTGGAATACCTGGGTAAGTGGGATCTGGTCAAATGACGTCATCATGTTCTAGATTTTGAGTCTTACTCTTACAGCAGGAATACTGAAGTTTGGGCTTTTCCCAGGCCCTGTCTGTCTGGAATCAAGACCAGACAAAATCAAAATCAACCTCTCGGTTATAAGCATTGTTTTCTTGGATTTGCTCATCGTTCTGATAAGGAAGGATTTTCTCAATCAAGCTTTATGCCAACAGTGGTCTACAGCAGGAGTCTCCAAACTTAGCAACTTTTAAGACTTGTGGACTTCAACTCCCAGAATTGAGGAATGGCGGAGGAATTCTGGGAGTTGAAGTCCACAAGTCTTATAATTGCCAAGTTTGGAGAACCTTGATCTGCAAGGATGGCCTAGTAGTGGACATTTGGACATTCTGCAAAAATCCAAATTCAGGTCCACCTTCAGCCCTGGAAACTCACTGGGTGACTTGGACGGAAGTCTTGATGTGTCATTCAGCCCATATCACAGACTTCTAGTTGCAAAAACATGGGCATCATATGTACATCGCTTGAAGTTCCTGAAATCTAGCCTCTTCATAGCTTCCCTTCTTAAACTTTACAGATAGCTCTTGACTTATGACTGTAAAGGAACTTTTCCATTATGGTTGTAAGCTGTGATGGTTCTGATTTTACAACCTGTTTTTGTGGTGTTAAACGAATGCCACAGTCATTAAGTAAACCCATTGAGTGGTGCGGGGGCCTAGAGGTGGAGCTCTCGCCTCACAATCAGGAGGCTGTGAGTTCGATCCTAGGTAGAGGCAGATATTTCTCTCTCTGGGTACGATGAGAATATGTCAGCTGAATATAACCCCACATTGGCAACAGGAAGGGCATCCGGCCAATAAACACTCAGCTCCATTCAGTTGCCCAAACTCCATCCCACAAGGGATTATGGGGTCATTAAAAGAAGATGATTACTATATTTTTTGGAGTATAAAGCACACCGGACTATAAGACACGTCTTCTTTTTTTGGTGAGGAAAACAAGAAAAAGAAATCTGCCTCTGCCTCCCAGCAATTTTGCCACATTGCAGCAAACAGCAAACAGCCTGCTTTACTTTCATTTTCATTTTCAGCATAGCCTGATTAGCACAAGAAAAAAAAAATCTGCTCCCAGCAATTTACCTCCTTACAGCAAGCAGCAGTGGCCCCTGCAAAACAGCTGAGAGCAAAACCTGAGAGCAAAACAGCTGAGAGTCGGGAGGCCGATCCAATCAACTTGAGCTAATTAGGCTGTGCTGAAGCTGAAAGAAGCTGTTTCTTCTTGCTGCTTGCTGGGAGGTAAATTGCTGGGAGGCAGAGGCCAAAAGGTGGGGGCCAGTGGGTGGGCAGGGCTACATTTGGTGTATAAAATGCACCTAAATTTTCACCCCCTTCTGGGAGAGAAAAAAGGTGGGTCTTATACTTCAAAAAATACGTAAGTAAACCCACTGTTTGCTATGAGGCATGTTTACCACAACCAGAAATAAACCCAGTTTCCGGCCAAAGTATTGTAAATTATGATCATGTGACTGTAGGACACTAAGAATGGCCATAAATGTGGGCCAGTTACCAAGCGCCTGAAATGTGGTCACCTGTCCTGGAGGGCAGACATCAGAATTTCAGAATCAGGTACAGGTAATCTTTGACTTACAACCATTTGTTTAATGATAGTTTGAAGTCACCCAGCACTGAAAAAAAGTGCTTATGACCATTTTTCACATTTATGACCTTTGCAGCATCCTCATGGTCATGTACTCAAAATTAGGGCACTTGGCAACTGGCATGTATTATAGCAATAGTACTTAGACTTATATACCGCTTCAGCGTGCGTCACAGCCCTCTCTAAGCGGTTTACAGAGTCAGCCTATTGCCCCCAACAATCTAGGTCTTCATTTTACCCACCTCGGAAGGATGGAATGCTGAGTCAACTTTGAGCCAGGTCAAGATCGAACTGTTGGCACTGAGTTGAATTAGCCTGCAATACTGCATTCTAACCACTGCGCCACCACTGCTCTTATTTATTATTTATGATGTTTGCGCTGTCCCTGGGTCACATGATCACCATTTGCAACCTTCTCAGCTGGCTTCCAACAAGCAAAGCCAATGGGGGAACCTAGATTCACTTAACGATGGCATGGTTCACTTAATAATGACAGTGAGTCACTTAGCAACTATGGTAAAAAAAAAAGGTCATAAAATGAAGCACAACTCACTTAACAAGTATCTTGCTTAGCAGCAGAAATTTTGGTCACACATCGAACACTATATCAGTATCTTCTAGAAGAATCTGTTGTAACCTCAGATGGTTTATTTATTTTTATTTATTTGTTTCAATTTGTATACCGCCCTTCTCCAATAGGACTCAGGGCGGTGAACAGCCAAAATAAAAACAAAACATACAAAATTTAAAAACAGTTTAAAATAATTAAATATTTTTGGCCGCAATTTAAAACAAACCCAATTTAAAATCAATTAAAATTTAACCCAAAACTGTGGGATCAAGCCAGCCCATTGCTAAGCAAGTATTTGTAAGTCGAGGACTTCTTGAAATGGCTTTGTGTGTGTATGTAAATTTTTTTTGTTGTTAGTTGCGAAGTTTTGTCCGACCCATCATGACCCCATGGACAATGTTCCTCGAGGCCTTCCTGACCTCTACCATCCCCTGGAGTCCATTTAAGATCACGGCTACAGCTTCAGTGACTCCATCCAGCCACCTCGTTCTCTGCCGTCCCCTTTTTCTTTTGCCCTCAATCGTTCCCAGCATTAGGCTCTTCTCCAATGAGTCCTTCCTTCTCATTAGGTGGCCATAGTATTTGAGTTTCATCTTCAGAATCTGACCTTCTAAAGAACAATCAGGGTTGATCTCCTCTAGGACTAACCGGTTTGATCGCCTTGCAGTCCAAGGGACTCACAGGAGTCTTCTCCAGCACCAGAGTTCAAAGGCCCAGCATTAGGCTCTTCTCCAGTGAGTCCTTCCTTCTATGCATGTGTGTGTATGTGTATACATACTTATATACACATACACACATATACATATACATACATATAAAGAAAAAAGCAGACGAGTTCCAGGTATATTAGTAAAGAAAGAAGCAGACATCCTGCGAGCTCCAGAACTTAAAATTTTAAAATAATTAAAATTTTATTTTACTAAGCTTTCGTTAGCCATCTGCTGACATTGTCAGAGTAATACTCTGACGATGTCAGCAGATGGCTGACGAAGGCTTAGTAAAATAAAATTTTAATTATTTTAAAATTTTAAGTTCTGGAGCTCGCAGGATGTCTGCTTCTTTCTTTACTAATATACCTGGAACTCGTATTTTTAGAATAGTGTGTAACACATACATATATACACATACCGGTATATATACATATACACATATGCATATACATACATATACATACAGTAGAACCTCTGGTCACGAATGCTTCTGACAATGACCAAATCGGGTTCTAACCAAAAAATTCACAATTTTTTTTAATCTGATCACAAACACATACTCGGGGGGTGGGGGCGGAATCAAACATGGCAGCAGGCAATTTCCCCTTCTGCGCCATTTTTTTGGTAAGCGCTAAACAACAGCGACTTTCATGTGGCCGCGTGCATTAATTTTGGTTAGGTTCGGATCACAACCAAATTGGGTTGTGACCAAAGTAATGGAACGAATTATGGTCGTGACCAGAGGTTCTACCATTAGGTGGCCAAAGAATTTGAGTTTCCTCTTCAGGATCTGGCCTTCTAAAGAGTTGATCTCCTCTAGGACTGACCGGTTTGATCGCCTTGCGATCAGTGGTGAAATCAGAACCGGTTCGCTGGCTGCGCATATGGCGCATTAGGTAGCTCAGTTGTGATCGTCAGAGCCTTTTTTTTAACCTTTTAAAAGCATTTTTTTTACAACCTATTTGGCCGAATAGGTTGTAAAAAAAATGCTTTTAAAACTTAAAAAAAAAAAAAGGCTCTGACGATCAGGCAGCTCAGCTGGAATCATCAGAGACTTTTTTTTTTAACCTTTTAAAAGCATTTTTTGAAAGAAGCGGGCAAGCACGTGACCAGATGATTGGGTGGGCATGGGCGGGTGGGGGGCAGGGATTTTTGCTACCAGTTCTTTGAACAACCCACCACCATCGCTACCGGATTAGCTGATCCGGTCCGAACTGGGATCATTTCACCCCTGGGTTCTCCTGTACATACATATCACAGAGGGCCATGGATTTATTAGACATCTTTTCTCATCAGGGAAGTCAGTGACTGTCATAGAACGTCATCACAGAACATCATAGAACATCAAAGTTGGAAGGGATCTTGGAGGTCTTCTAGTCCAACCCTTTCCTCAAGCAGAAGACCCTATATCATTTCACACAAATGGCTGTCCAGACTCTTCTTAAAAGCCTTTAAAGATGGAGCACCAACAATTTTTAAAGGCAAACCGTTCCACTGGTTGATTGTTCTCACTGTCAGGAAATTTCTCCTTAGTTCTAGCTTGCTTCTCTCCTTGGTTAGTTTCCATCCATGGCTTCTTGTCTTGCCCTTTGGTGTTTTGGAAAAGAAGTTGACCCCGCCTCTTCTTTGTGGCAGCCCCACAAATATTGGAACACCGCCATCTTTCTTTTCACTAGACGAGACATACCCAACTCCTGCAACCTTTCTTCATATGTTTTCATATGTCACTCTGGAGAAGACGACGAAGCAATCAATAGTGCAGAGTTTGCAAAATTCTCTTTAGAATTCCATGCTCGCAGAACCCAAAAACATGATTCTGTTATAAAATCCATCTGGCTTTGCTGCAACACACAATGTTTATTTATTTATTTATTGGTTCGATTTATATGCCGCCCTTCTCCAGAGATTCAGGGCGGCTTACAATGCATTAAGCAATAGCCTTCATACTTTTGTATATAACTGCTTAGTAGGGCTTTCGCCCCCCCAAGCGGTGTTCTTTTTTTATACAAAGTCAGCTTATTGCCCCCACATCCGGGTCCTCATTTTACCTACCTCGAAAGGATGGAAGGCTGAGTCAACCTTGAGGCTGGTGAGATTTGAACTTGCAGTAATTGCAGGCAGCTGGTGCTATTTAACTGCACTTTAGTCTGCTGCGCCACCAAGGCTCTTGCAATGTTATAATAATGCTCTGAAGTATAATAGCGTCAAGACATTGGACTGCTCAATCTTCTGTTCCATTTTTCTTTCTGGCATTTCATAATTTCGGACAAAGCCCTTTATCTCCCTGCCGGCAGGACTCAACTGCATGTCACTGATCTCTGCATAATCAGAAATGTTGCAGTCATCGGAACAAGAACGCCTCTCTGCAAAAGATGCTGATAGCTTAATAACGATACTTACTACTCAGGCAGAAAGCTGCCATATGCTCAAAATTACATAGCCCACCGCCCGATTTCAGCGTTACTGCTAGTAATGCAGGCATAGTTCAGAAGTGGTTCTTATCTACATAGGGTCGTAATAAAACCAATAAAAACACTAATAAAAATAAAATCCAGTTTAATCTAGTGGTTAAGGCACCAGGCTAGACACCAGGAGACAGTGAGTTGTAGTTCTGCCTTAAGCATGAAAGCCTTGAGTTATGTATAAGAATAATAAAGGGAGGATAAAAAAAAAAAAATTAATAATATTAGAAGATCAACAGCAAGTGGGAAAATCCCATATCACAATATCTGGACTTGAGGCTAAAACATATAGAGAAGGGTTGCAGGAACTGGGTATGTCTAGTTTAATGAAAAGAAGGACTAGGGGAGACATGATAGCAGTCTTCCAATATATCTCAGGGGCTGTCACAAAGAAGAGGGAGTCAAGCTAGTCTTCAAAGCACCTGAGGGCAGGACAAGAAGCAATGAGTGGAAACTAATCAAGGAGAGAAGCAACCTAGAACTAAGGAGAAATTTCCTGACAATTAGAACAACTAATCAGTGGAACAACTGGCCTCCAGAAGTTTCCAGCTCCAACACTGGAAGTTTTTAAGGTGTTGGATAACCATTTGTCTGAAGTGGTGTAGGGTTTCCTGCCTAAGCAGGAGGTTGGACTAGAAAACCTCCAAGGTCCCTTCCAACTCTGTTCTTCTCTTCTCTCTCTTCTCTTCTCTTCTCTTCTCTTCTCTTCTCTTCTCTTCTCTTCTCTTCTCTTCTCTTCTCTTCTCTTCTCTTCTCTTCTCTTCTCTTCCATTCCATTCCATTCCATTCCATTCTATCTCTATCTCTATCTCTATCTCTATCTCTATCTCTATCTCTATCTCTATCTTTTTATATACTTTCTAACAGCCATGTGTGGTTCATCATACAGAAAACGGTCCCAATCCTTGAAAGGAGCATTACTCTTGAAAACTTTAAAATCTTCTGTTAACAGTCTTGTTGTTGTATATGATTTGCAGAAAGTCTATAGTGGCTTCTCATCTACCACACATTACCACAATCAATATCTCTGATCCGTCCAGGACATGCACCATTTTTAAAATTTTCGTTTTGTTTCGTTTCATGTTTATACATTTTCTTGAATAAAATAAAATTTAAAGAGAGGGTGAGAAGTGGTTCTTTGATCAGCCCAGGAAGTACCAAAAGAAAAAAAAGAATAAATTGCTTTCCAGAGTGGCTCATATTAGCATATGAGGCATTTTGGCTGTTTAAATTTATAATTGGTTTTAACTGGGTTATTTTAAATTGATGGCCAAAATTATTTATGTTTTTTTAAATTGCTTTTAAATTTTATATGTTATGTTTTTACCGTGGCTGTTCACCGCCCTGAGTCCTGAGAAGGGCGGTATACAAATTAAATAAATAAATAAAATAAATAAAAAGGAAGAAACTTCAAGAGTTTTCTTACCCCACTATAAGGACTTTATATATTTCCAAAAAGATGTTTTTTTAAAGGAGAACAATTAATGCTGACTATTTCAGCTAATATTGGAGTTAGACTAGAAACTAGGAGATTGTGAGTTCTAGTCCCATTTTAGGTGCGAAACCATCTGGGTGAAATTGGGCCAGTCATTCTCTTTCAGCCCTAGAAAGCAGGCAAGAGCAAACCACTTCCTGAGAAAACCACAGGGACTGGTGTAGGCATTTGCCAGGAATCAACATTGAGTAGGCACATAGAGGTAGTCCTCGACTTACGATGACAATTGTACCCCAGATTTCTGTCCCTTAGTGAGACATTTGTTAAAGAGAGTTTTGCCCCCTGTTTACGACCTTTCTTGCCACAATTGTTAAATGAATCACTGCAGTTGTTCAGTTAGGTTGTTAAACGAATCTGGCTTCCCCATTGTCTTTGCTTGTCAGAAGTTCGAAAAAGGTGTATCACATGACCCGCGGGAAGCTGCAACCATCATAAATATGAGTCAGTTGCTGAGCATCTGAATTTTGATCACGTGACCAAGGGGATGCTGCTAGGGTTGCAAGTGTGAAAAACGGTCATAAGTCACTTTTTTCAGCGCCGTTGTAACTCCAAATGGTCTCTAAATGAACGGTTGTAAGTGGGGGACTATCAGTACCAGAGGTGGGATTCAGCCGGTTCGGGCAAATAGGATGTTTATTTTATTTATTTATTTTATTTATTGAATTTGTATACCGCCCTACTCCCGAAGGACTCAGGGCGGTGAACAGCCATAGAATAAAACATATAAATACAAAATTTAAAATAGATTAAAACGAATTAAATAATTTGGCTGAACAAATTTAAAACCCCAATAATTTAAAATCTGGTTCGCCAAACTGATAGTTGCAAGGACTGGATGACCCTCTCCACCCAACCCCTCACAGGAGTCTCCATGCGGCCCATTTGAGATGCCAGATAAGTGCAGCGCCTGTGCGGAGGCTCTGGAAGAGTGAAAAATGGGCATCCCAGAAGTTCTGGAAGTCCAAAAATGGGTCCATTTTCAGACTCTGAAGGACCTCCGGAGCCCGGGAGGCCGTTTTCACCCTCCCAGAAGCTCAAGGAAAACCTCCGGAGCCTGGGGAGGGTGAAACACACACACACACACACACACACACACACACACACACACGTGATGCAGGAGGCCGAATAGGCCACGCCCATCACAGCCATGTCCACCCAGCACCTGGGCAGAGAACCGGTTTTTAAAATTTTTGAATCCCACTCCTGATCGGTACATACAATATAACTCTACCCAGCGATTCATTGGGAGCCAAACATGGAAATCCACTCCTGACAGAATTTGCAGCAGAACTTTTTTCAGCCGCAGAAAAGCGTTTGGCAACGTTTTGCCACTTGGCGTTCCTCAGAATTGCCCAACCTGTGCCTCCCTTCCATCCATCCTGCTCCTTCTTTCCCTCTCCATGTAGGCGAATCCACATATCCAAGGCGACTTTGGATTGTCTCAATGGGGATTACAAAGTGGAGGAAGGACACGGCAAAGAACGCAACGAATTTTTGAGGAAGCACAACATCGAGACCTACTTGATCAAACAGCCCGAGGAAAACCTGCTGACTTTACCCGAAGACATTGTCAAAGAGTCGATCCCTTCTTCGGATAGGAGAAACAGTGGACCCACTTTCACGGAAGGATCCTGGAGCCCCGAGCTGCCTTTTGATAACATCGTGGGAAAGCAGCATGTAAGTTTAATGTTCCTCTTTAATATCTACCTGCCACCTAGGTTTGACTTGATTTCCATATCCAAGGAAAGGCATTTCTGCTTAGCCTTTCCGCCAAATGACAAGAGCTAATTAAAAATGCTGCCGCTGGGCAGAATTAACCTAGGTATCCAAATGTCCCTTTTCTCTGAGTGTTAGTTGAACTGGAAACATATCAGAGCTCTGCTCCACAGAAAGCGCGAGAGGCACCATCAAAACACGGTGGCTGAAAACTTGTCATTCCAGACTCTGTAATGGGGTGGGCTGTAGATTTTAGGCATGTTTTAAGCTTAATGTGTTTTTTTACTTTGGTGGACCCATGGGTGCCTGAGAGAGAGAGAGAGAGAAAGATAGATGGATGGATGGATGGATAAGTAGTTAGAGGTGGATGAAAAGATGAAAAGAGAGATTAGATACTAATGCATGAGAGAGAGAGAGGGAGAAAGAAAGAAAGAAAGAAGAGAAAGAAAGAAAGATGATAGGTGGGTGGGTCGATGGACGGATGGATGGATGGAAATGGTGAGGTAGATCAATGAGGGATGGATGGATAGATGGATAGATAGATGATAGATAGATAGATAGATAGATAGATAGATAGATAAATAGATAGATAGATAGATAGATAGATAGATAGATAGATAGATAGATAGATAAAGAGGTAAAAGGATGATGGATGGATAGAGAGAGAGAGAACATGATTGCTAGATGGATGGATCAGTAGATGAATGAATGGATGGATGACAAAAGAGGCTTAGGTAGATAGATGATAGATAAATGGATAGAGAGATGGATGGATGGATGGATGGATGGATGGATGGATGGATGATGGATGGATGGATGGATGGATGAATGATGGATGGAAGGAAGAAGAGACAGACAGACAACCGACAGACAGACAGACAGGGTTGGATGAATATGGATGGATGGATGGAGAAAGATGGTTAGGTAGATACGTAGATGATGGATAGCTGGATTGATGGAAAGAGAGATAGATACCAATTTAAACTCCTAACTGTTAGTACAACATAAATGTCATAAAGCCAGCCATAATCTTCCCAGGTGGGCAAATGGTAAGTACCCTTGAAGGCTCTTCAGATAGCGGATGGGGAACAGAATGTTTCCCTGCAATGCAGTATCATGAAGAAGATCCTCATGGGGCTGAGGAGAGACACTTGACAAAACGAGCATGTTACTGCCTTACAAACACCACCCCTCTCCTACCTGTGTTGCGATGTCAACATGCAAGTAGTAAGGGGAGGCAGTTGCAGCAAAACAGTGTGGCATATTTGTTGTTCCATTTTTTCATCACATTAACACCCATTGCAATGAATCAAGATTCTCAACCGTTTCTAGTAATTAAGAAAAATTCTGTTACAATATATAGAATAGGAGGGGGAAAAACAAGCCAATCCCCCCCTCATTAAATATATTTAAAAAATGACCGTTTATCTTGGCTATCCTGGCCCTCACATCAAGCTGATTTTCATTGTTTCTGGAGGTCCATCCAGATTTCTAAAAAGGGTCACCTCTGTGAACTAAGAGACATATGTAGAGACAAAGAGTTATTTACATGCTCGTTTTCTCTACATCCAGAAGATTATTACAATGAGGAAAAATCTAGGTTCCATTTTCCTGTCTCATATAGGGATTTATTTACTCACTAGTTGATAACCTGGCATTGCCCGAGTATTTATTTATTCCAATCCTGCCTTTGAGGTAATTATCTGCATTAGCAGGCACCTTCCCCGACAACTTGCCATCTTTGCTTGAAGCTGAGGGCCTAGGGGTGTTGTGGTTTTTTTACAGAACCAATCCCCTTACCAGAGGGAGCCCCCTTGTGGAGTAATGGGAAGCCATGGCAACTCCACTGTGCTGTACAGTAGAAGCCATTTTAAGGCACAACAGGCTATCTTAACAGAACTTGAATCCAAAATGCACACTATCACTGTCAAAAGTACTGTGATTTGACAATATAGATATAATTCATTCTTTTTCATTTCAGTGGCCCAGGCATTCCAGAGCTATGCTGGAACACACACACACACACACACACACACACACACACACACACACACCAAGGGTGTTAGGGTGTCTTATCCCCACAGTATTTTTTTTCCAGAGAGTAAGTTATCTGTGTACTAAGTTTGGTTGAAATTGCTCGAGGCATTCCAGAGTTATGCTGGAACATACATAGAGAGAAAGAGCCATTTTTAGAGAGAGAGAGAGAGAGAGAGAAGATTACTTCTGCAAAGAGAGGGCTTCGTTCTGTTCAATCTCTTATGAACACTTCCTGACTGATTTTGTCAAGTCATGACACAATTGGTTGCTTCATCTGCTTTATGTTAGAAACTAAACCATAATCCGACAGGGAAAATACTGGCTGGGTTTGTGCAATATACTAGGGATGGCTTGTCTGTCACCCTGATTTTTCCATGAGATTAGGTTGACCCCAATCTTGGTGGTTATTCAAAAGACCTTAAGACTCGCTCTTCTCCTAGGCACACAGATTGGGAGGTTAGTTGACCCTGTGAGTTATAGTTAATATATATTATATAATTATATTTAATTAATTTAACATAATTATAATTAATTCATTATAATATAATTATATATTTATTTTCAATGGTTGTTCTCAGCTACTATTCTTTTTTATTTTTGTCATGTAGTTATTTATTTTGGTTGTGTTTTTATGGTAATACTGGTATTACTATCTTTATTGGCCACCAGAATGATTTGTGGAAATGATGTTAAATGCTGGGTAAACCAGGAGATTCGGGCAGTTCAAATGAGTATAAAGATTTATTGCAAGCTTAAGTTCTCTACAAGAATCTGAATGACTAACGGTCAAGGGAAATGAAAGGCATTCAAGGTGGGCTGGAATAGAGTAGAGTAGAGTAGAGTAGAACAGAACAGAGAGAACAGAACAGAACAGAACAGAACAGAATAGAATAACAGAGTTGGAAGGGACCTTGGAGGTCTTCTGATCGAACCCCCTGCTTAGGCAGGAAACCCTACACCACTTCAGACAAATGGTTATCTAATCTCTTCTTAAAAACTTCCAGTGTTGGAGCATTCACAACTTCTGGAGGCAAGTTGTTCCACTGATTAATTGTTCTAACTATCAGAAATTTCTCCTTAGTTCTAAGTTGCCTCTCTCTTTGATTAGTTTCCTCCCATTCCTTTTTGTTCTACCCTCAGGGGCTTTGGAGAATAGTTTGGCTCCCACTTCTTTGTGGACTTAGCTCTCTTGCGGGCGCGCAGGGACTCGTGATTTATGATGCATTTGACCCTCTCCGTCTGGCTCAGCCTGGTTTAGACCTGAAAGCCTACTGGGTGACTTTGGGCCAATCACCAGGAGATGGTGAGTTCTAGTCCCGCCTTAGGCACAAAAGCCAACCGGATGAATTCAGATCAGTTCCCCCCTCTCTCTCTCAGTCCAACCTACCTCACAGGGATGTTGTTGTGGACCAGACGGAAAGGTGTATCGCATATGTTTGCTGCCTTGAGTTATTTCTAATAACAATAAAGGCAGGATGCCAATGAATAAATAAATCTAAATTTAAAAAGTGAGCTCTGGGCTTTGTTTCTCCCAAACAGGCTGCTGAGAATGCTAGCATACAGCCAATACCAGGGGCGAGAAAGGTACCGGATTCGAGAATTTAATGAGCCCCAACTGAGCCTCTTGCTAACAGAAGTTACAAACAGTTTGCATTAAGTCATTTCAAAGTGCTTATCTCGAGCCGGTAAATGAGATGGAAAATGTGAAGGCGAATGGCTTTTTTTTTTTTTTTTTGCAGAATTAACACTGAGTACTGCAATTTATCGATTAGCAAGCTCTTTTGTTTCCCTCCGGTTTTTGTAGGTATTCTGGCTACTGATCATCTTAAGGAATGAGTTATTTTTCCTGTCCCCAGGCCCCCCCCCACCTTTGCTCCTTTTAATTATTTCCGGCTCAACCGTTTTGGTTCCAATTCCTATGCTTTATGTTCCTCGTACGAGTTCCTTCCTTTGATTTTGTTTTTCCTCAATCAAGAACGGATTGATTCCCTTGCAGCAAAAGAGCTGCGGGATGTATGGGGAGGGAGGCTGTCTTTTTTTAAACAAAGGAAGGGGGGAGGAAGCCCAGAAATTATTAAATCGATCTAGCATCGGAGACAACGAAGTGGGGGACCCACACACACACATGCTTAAACTTTGGTTAAGCACTAAAGGACAGCTGTGTGAAAAACGAGAAAAGTGCACACTTGAAAGAACGACGCCAAAAAATACACACCCGGGCATCACAAGATCTCAGTCCTTCTTGGCCGCATTCGCACTGACACACAGATCCTGCAGTGCACCATCAGGTTGCCAAAATACCACGACCAACTTCCTGCAATCTGGTGCTCTCCAGCTGTTCGAAACTCCAAGTCCCAGAATTCCTCTGAAGTCAGGGGGATTCTAGGAATTTAAACCAAGGGTGGGGAACTACAGTTGTGGTTCTCCAAATCAGGGGAGTCCAACCTTGGGAACTTTAAGGCCTGTGGACTTCAATTCCCAGAATTCCCCAGCCAGCTTGGGACCGGCAAATACCACCTCTGGCTGGCCCCAGAGTGGGGTGGGAATGGAGATTTTGCAATATCCTTTCCCCTGGAGTGGAGTGGGAATGGAGATTTTGCAGTATCCTTCCCCTGCCACGCCCACCGAGCCACACCACGCCCACCGAGCCACGCCCACAGAACCGGTAGTAAAACAATTTGGATTTCACCACTGATGCGCGCCCGTCGCCCGCCAACCAGCTGGTCTTCAGGTCTCTGCTGTGCATGCATGGGGTGTACATGGGCGGGCATGTGCGCAGGGGCAGGGTGCACGCAGGGGGTGAGGCACATGCACAGGAGGCCACGCGCGCACTGCATTTTGGGGTTCGGGCACACGCTTTGGGCACTCAGTCCGGAAAATGTTAGCCATCATTGGTCTAACTATACTAAAATTACAATCCATTATAGGCTAACCATGATACCCACTGCTGGTTCCCAAAACAAGGACAGATAAATTTCCTGTCGCATTCAAATCCTGGCCATCACTGCTCCCCCCCACCCCAAAGCCAAAATCCA